TAACCCTTTTAAAGCCCCCAACCCTGATAAACCTTAAGGCCCCGAAACCCTAAACCGATGATTTGTCGGTGAGGGGAGAGCTTCTTCAGACCCAGGAAGGCCTCACATTTTCAAATTTAGGGTTGGTTTAGGGTTTAGGGTTTAGGGTTTAGGCTCTCCTTTGTTTCTTGCAAGCTCTCAAACTCGCCAACTCGAGCAGGTGTCAAACTGACAATCTCTCAAGCGTTGAACCAATTGAATCCATCAAGCTTGAAAATCTTTAAACCCGAACGCCTTTCAAACTCCAAGCTCTCGAGCCCTCGAGCTCTCAAATTCGCCGGCGGCAAAAAAACCCAGAGCTCTCTGTCATACTCCAAACTCGAAGCGCTCACGCGTTGATGATTCTCTGAAGCTCTTGAGCTCCGAGCTCAAACTTTCGAGCTCCGAACCTTCAAACTTTGAAGTCCTTCCAAATTCGGATAGCAGTAAAGTTGGTAGATTGAATCTGAGAAGAGGCGCTCGAGCTCCAATATTGAACTTTTGGAAGATATGAACTTGTAACCCTTCAAAGGATGAAGCTTGGAGTCTGAAAGCTGCTTGCATCTTCGTATTCTCGAACTTCGGACTCGCAACGTTCGAACTTTCAACTTTTTGAGCTCTGCGCACTCTCAATGCACATCCAGAACAGCTGATTCTATTGGACGTTGGTCAGGCTTCCATGTATATATCCGCCGACCCCAGCGGTAGCAGGGCGGCGTCAGTGAAGACCCCCCACCGCCCTCACCGCCCTCACCCGCTCTCACAGCATGCTGCTCATGACACCTTGAATTGGAGTGTTTTTGCATTGTTTGGCTTCAGTGCATGCCCAAACCCCACCACCCATCGCCCTCACCCATGACGCCTTGAATTGGACCTTTGACCCCCCCCCACCCCATCCATTCAGGTGGTTTAAAGGGTCCAGTGCATGCCCGACCACCCCCTGACCAATCTCTAGTGTTTTAAGCATTCCAGTCCATGCCCGCCCTGACCGCCCTCACCGCTCTCACCGCTCTCATCACTCCCCCTCCCTATGCCCCCCAGTCCACCCCTCCCTGACACCAACCCTTTGCCCTCAACCCCCCACCCTCGACTCTGAAACCCCACCCCCCCCCACCCCCCCCATCCCTTCCCTCCTAGGCCCCTACCCCCTACTCCGCCCTGACAAATCTCTAGTTTGAGGGATTCCAATCCAAGCCCGCCCTAACCGCCTCCCCGCTCTCATCACTCCCCTGCCTTCCGCCCCCAACTCCACCAACCCTCAACCGTCACCTCCCCTGTCCACCCGCCGCGCTCCACCCTGCCTTCCGCCCCAACCCTCTCACCAGAGCTGGTCAAATGAGTCAGGCCCCCCTTTCCGCCAGCCGCCCCCACCCTCTCCCACTCCCACTCCCTAACCCTCCCACCAACCCTCCCCAGCCCTCATCATTACCCCCTCCCACCATCGTGCACCATCCGACCGCCCCCCCGCTCTCACCGCTCTCATCGCTTCTTCATCTCTATGCCCCCCAGTCCACCCCTGCCTTCCGCCCCCAACTCCCTAATCCGACACCAACCCTCTACCATCACCCCCCACACCCCCCACCCCCGCCGCCCCCCTTTCCACCCCCACCCACCCCCACCCCCCCCGCCCCCGCCCCCCCCGCCTGCCCGCGCTCCACCCTGCCTTCCGCCCCAATGCGACTGTCTTGGGTCTGGGGTCGGCGGCACTGGCGGTAGCCATTAAATCGGGCAGCGCGAGGTCCCCAAAGGACCGAGCAAATGCGGACCTTTTAGCCCGGGTCGTCCCGGGAATAGCCTTGCTGGCCTCTGGCCTTCTGCGAAGCAGAATTAGGCCGGACGCCAGTGCCGCCGACCCCCGCGTGCCGCCGGTGAACGGTTTTTTTTTCGTGGTTTTTTGCGTCGCCACGGAGGCCCCCAGAGGGCGCGCATCATGAGCATCAGCGGGTCCAGCCCGGGACCCCCAGGCGCGCATCAGGAGCATCAGCGGCTCCCGGGGCGGGACCCCGGGGGCGCATCAGGAGCATGATGCCCCCCAAAGGGCGGGCATAAGCGACGTGTCTAAGCCCGGGGCTAGGAAAAAGGGAGTTTAGGGGCCTTATAAAGTGCTTAGAAACGTTAAGGGAGTCTAGGAGCCTCAAACGCTTAGAGATTTGAAGGGAGTTTAGGGGCCTGAAATGCTTAGAAACTTAACGCTTAGAGATTTTAAGGGAGTTTAGGGGCCTCAACATGCTTAGAAACTGCTCGCCCCGGGCTTCTGCGTGCGCTGCCCGCCCATGGGCGCAGCCCCTTAAAATATATATATATATATATATATATCCAGACACACACACACACACACACACACACCAATGGTCCAACGAATTTGATGCAGAGTAACTGTCTGGATGAAGGGTGGGATGGGATCCCTATGCCCTATGCGCTAAGAGCCAACTTGTCGCTGAGTGGCGTCGAAGAGGCCGAATAAATCCTCGGCCAAGGGCACGCCACAACTTAACTTTAGAACCCGAAATGGCTGAGATTGTGCTCGGGCGACCGGGCGAGTCTCCAGAGAACTCTCCAGGCTAAACCAGTTGCAGCTCTAGGCATGCAAAGCAAAACTTCAACCGGCCAAGAAGTGCGGACCAAGCTGCCCCGATAAACTGCACCACTTCCTGCGGCATTCGGGTGCTGGCCTCAGACAGCTTCGTGTTCAGCAGGTTGCTGCCCATCATGTTTTGTCTGAGATTGCCCGGGATCTCAAGCCATCGCCCTTCAGTCAGGCTAGAACAGTCTCGGTGCACTACTGTCCACACGATACTACGCCTGAGTACCTGAGTAGTTGCATTTGGAAAAGACCAGTTCTGGGCTTTACATGGCTCAACAAGTCTTCCGACTGCATTCTACCTGTGCAAGATTTAGCCATACAAGTGCGGAAGGGAGAAAGCTTGGCATGGTATCAAAGCCCGCAGCTGGGGCACCAGCCAGCTTGGTGAAACCACAGAGGTCCGACTGTGCGATTGTCGCTCTTTGGTACCTCGGCAAGGCTGGCACATCCGAGTGTCGTGGCCAGTTTCTGGCACCACTGTAAGGGGTTTTGCTTTATAGATATGTCTGTATATGTAGAAATTATACATGTATATATATATATATACATACATATACATATACGGCTTTGTTTTATCTTTTTTTGGGCCCCCCCCCCTCCCACAGCTTCTCCGACCTTTGAAGCTTGCCTAGGAATGCCTAGACAAGCAAATTTCTGACTACCGACTTTTGCGCTTGTTCGGCTGGATGTGTGCTTTGTTGCAGTTGTTGCGCTCTTTCTTGGCTTAACTTGTCCTTGTGCTTTTCTATGCTTTTGCCCCCAGCACATTAAACTGCCGATGACCAAAAAACAACACATCTGACAAACAAGCTTCAATTCGTGCTTTATTTGGCTAGTTTTGGCTGCATGGGCTGTTCCCAGGCAAATCAAGCTGCACAAGCCCCCAAATCCGACGCTGGGGTTGAGTTTTTCGATTGCTTTGATTGAAGACGAGGGATGGCCCATCAACACCAAACAATCGAAAAGAACGCCTCCTGCAGCCCCCCCCCCCCCCCCCCCCCCCCCCCCCCCCCCCCCCGCACCCCGGAAATCCAAAGATGCGAACCTTTTATGGCATTGAGTCCGGAAACTGTTGTATTCTTGACTTCCTTTGAATTTGGGATTTCTGGAATATACATACACAAGATGAACATAAACGTTCAAACGAACCTTGTAACCTGAAATGAATCCCATAGAAAGGTTCACAAGGGGAAGCCTCCTGACTATTTAGTATACTGGATTCGACTACTCGAAACTCACAGGTATTCAGAAAAGATCCACAAGTTCTCTATGGATTGTAAGTTCCCTTCTCTCCTGTGAACAGCTCATTCGCAAAAGGCCTGTGCGTAACACATGAACATGCTTTTTTGTTCAGAGATTTCAACAAGACTCTTTTGGGGTTCTCATATACAGAAAACTTCTCTATGGAACTCTTTTTGAACACGCTATTTCGCATCCCAGTAATGCAGTGTCCACTTATGAATATATATATATATATACATGTATACATACTATACATTTATACATCTCATCTATGTCAAACGGCATGAACCGTTGACATGTCTGCCCCGGCCTTGCGCGAAGACAGCAGTGGTCAAAACTGTGTCGGGCTTGGGACCCAGTTGATCCAAGGTGTAATACTTGAGACATGTTAGGGGACCCCACTGCACCAAACAAAGCACGCTGAATTGACCGCCAAAGCTGTATGTGCAGAAGCGGGATCGCAAAGATCAGGAGTCATTGTCTGCGACTGTCTGCAAGCCCAAGCCAGTGCGCGGCCGCACATGCCCATACCCGAAACCGACCCGCAGCCACAACTTCAAGACGGAAGTCGCAAGAAGGTGAACGTCTTGATTTCACAGACTTCACACATCACGGATGTTAGCGGTACAGTGCCTAACAAGCTGAGCTCACCACTTGTGTGATGGAAGCGGCGCGTCAAATGGCAAAGACCGCATCTCCTCCAAAACTGACGGTATGGACTTTGACAGGGCCATCGTCTATCGTGTGGCTTTGGGGACGTACAAGTGCTGGCAGGCTCTCTGTTTTCACATTCGCGTCATTCGGTCATCATCGGCCATTCTGGCTTGTGAACTTGAGGGGGTTCTGCATCTGCTATTGCAGAGCAAGTTCCTAGAGCTTCCTTGGTAAGACTGTAGCTTGAGTTTCGTCCGCGCAGAAGATTGTACACATGGCCATCTGCTCTGCGAGAGAATGGGCCAAACAAGTTGCATGTTAATGCTACAAAGTTTTGGATTGCCGACCAACGACGAAGTTATCCCAAAGGAGACAGCTCCTGAAGCCAGCCGGCAATCAACACACAAATTAAGAAGGTCTATGAAACGTCAGTCTCTGCCGATTTCGGCCACAATGTCGAAGGATGGATGTAGATGGGATTCTGCCCTCCGCTGCTTCCGTCTTATCCTTGAGCAAGTACCTCAAGTGGCACACGGAGCTACTCGAAAGCAGCTGCTGTTACAGATGAAGGCGATTGACAATGCGCTGCTGAGATAACACCTCTTCAGACATGCTGCCGCAATCTTGCTGCTGCCCTCGGCTGGTAAAGAGATACACCTTTGCTGCTCGATGGCTGCGAAGCTTTTGCAGCTTTTAGTTGCCCCTGCTGCTTTGGGGTCTGTTACAACTGCACAACATGTGTACACATATAAGAAGAAAAGGCAGCACAAAAGCCGAAGTCTTGGGCAGAGCACCCCGGGAGCTGTGGTAGCGAAGACAGGGAGGGGTAGGAGAGGGATGCGAGGCTGCTGAAGGTGGAGGGCAGCGTGGGGGCCTGGCATCGGGAATTGATATATATATATATATATTTATATTTATATTATATTTATATTTATATTATATTATATTAATACACTTCAGTGCAAGGCAGGTTTGGTCTTGGCTCTACAAGGCTCATACAACTGAGATCGCTTGAGCCGAGCCGTTAAAAAAAAAACAACCGCAGTGCCACTTCTGCTACTTCTTGCTCTTTGCAAGTTTGTGGACCATCCGAAGCCTGCGCAGTCTTGAACCGCGAGGTGGCCTTCGGGTGCAAGAAGCTGTCGCGTTTAAGTAGAAACGGAAACTGGAATCTCAGGCGCGTTCGAAAAGGCTTCCATGCCTTCAAGTGGAGGGACTCGGCTTCCTCTCGTGCAGCTCGGGTGTCAGCTTCATTGGCCTTGGCTGCGGCACAAGACATGTAAGGTTGGACCATATTCAGTAGGGAGTTCCTCTACATGAATGATGTTGGCGGCACGGAAATTTCCAGGGAGCAAGTGGTACTTTCGGTGTTGTGCACAGCCCTCTTCAAACACCATATTCCGCACCGGACATGTTGTTGAGAGGCATTTTCGGAATCATATCAAGCTCTTCCCCTCGATAAGGGGAGGCCTGAATAAAAGCCGGGCCTGCTTTCGACGGGGCCCTTGCCATTGTTACTGTTACAGGTAGAATGGTAGAAGTACACATACTGATTTTGAAGTTCTTTCTCACACAATGTAGGGGCCTGAATTATTAGAATAGGGTTTCGGGGGGTTCATTATAGTAGAATTATAAATCAAGGAACCATAAGGGAAGACTATTCGTAACTACTCCGACCCCTAAACCCTAAAAAAACCTAACCCCCAAAAACCCCAAACCCCTTATGTAAACCCTAAACCCTAAACCCTAAACCCCAAACCCCTTATGTTTAGGCCTATGAAGCTGTAAGGCCCGAGTCACATCCGGGCCCAGCGAGCGGAGGATGGCGCCGGCAAGGGCGGCCTTCGCCGCCAAGGTCTCCACGTGGTCCTCGGTAGGGTTTAGGGTTTAGGGTTTAGGGCTTAGGGCTTAGGGCTTAGGGCTTAGGGCTTAGGGCTTAGGGTTTAGGGTTTAGGGCAATGGAGCGCGACTGCACTGTGAACCAGGACATCGTCGGGACCACACCCCAGCAGTACTGAAACTACAGGTCGGCATCGATCCGACAGGACATTCACAGGAAAGGATGAGATCTCAATGATAGTTTGCTGCTTCCACAAGTTTGGCAAACGTCGAGGGGCACTCGGGGCACACCGAGAAATAATCTACACACTACACACTTCGGACATCCTCGCCGTGCTGCTAACTGATGTTGGGGGCCATCCTGCCGTTTCAGACAGGAGTGATTGACGGATACTTCGGGCTGCCTTCTGTCAAGGGACTCTCCGCAGATTCTCTGAGGGTTTAGAGCCTGCATAAGCGCTTCAGGACTGACATTCCTGCAAGTCACCTTCTCCGAGTTCATGTTGAGTGAGAAAAAACACGACCACCAGGACCCACAGTGCAGGTCGTTTGCATTGGACACACCATCGGTTGCGCTTGGCATTCTGCGACACACAGAAGCCTTCTTAGAAGCCTTCTTCTGATTTGGAGGGCTGCTCTGAGTAGATGTCCCGTCCTCTGAAACATTAATAGCCCTCCAGATCAGCCCTCTGGTAATGGCCACTTCGTGTTGAAACACAGATCGCAACAGGTTGCGATCTGTGCTTTTCCAGTTCGAGACCACTTTCGCGAAGCCCTCGAGCTTGTGTTTCTGGGCTCTATTGCGTGGCTGCCAGGCCACTTTCGTGCCGAATCATTGATTCGGGATGTTTACTGGCCTCTCTCCTTACGACTAACTTCACAAGAACTAGTACGGTGACGACAACAATGATTTAGGAGAAGCGGAGCAGAGGAAACGAGGAGAAGCGGCCAGGCCATACAGCATGGGGCCGGCGCAGACCTGAAACAAACTGACCTCCTTCCGTGATCTTTACTGTGAAATGATTGGGATTCACACCACTGCCAGACGTTACGGTCCAGGGCGAAGGGGGGGGGGGGTTGCGGCGTGGAGGAGCCTTGGATGCGGGGAGGAGCTCATGGATCTTGAAAGGAGGGGTTTCTTGAGACGAGGGTTTTTTTTTTAAATTCAGACAACTGATGATTTTTTGCCAAGGAAAGTAGTTCTTGATTGTTGCTTTTTTGCCTGACCCCCCCCAGGGTGCAGGTGCGGTGAGAAAGCGGAGCTACCCAAACTATAATATCCCAGCAAGCCTGATCTTATTGCAAGCGCCCGTGCTGGGAACCTCCAAAACTGACCGTATTGTGACGTTTGTTTGTTTGCTTGTTTGTGCCAAAGGTCTTATTGACATGGGCATTCACGCCGAGGAACATTCGTGCACTCTTGCTGCCAAGATTCTGGCCCCAGGCAGGTCTCACTGAGGTTCGCGACCTGTCATCCGGTGGCAAAATCAACTTCCACTGCACCAGGGCCCTTACCCTTACCCAAAATCCGTCAACTTCTCCCCAGCCGGTCCCCACTTGAAACCCTCTCAAAACCCCAAACCCTCTATAGGAAAAAGCCTTTCAGCAAAACACGCATCCAACCCCTCTCCTCGCGACGCAGGGCCAAGGACTCCGCAGCGGCATCCTCGGTGTCCTTGCGGGCAAGGATGGCCGCAAGCTCCGAGCGGGCGGCGAGTGTGTCCTTAGATGTTGGAATCCAAAGTCGAGGCTGGATGACAAGTTGGGGGTGGGCCATGAGACCGATTGCCTAGCATATCGGAAGAGGCGTGGTGCCAGCATAATTAGGCACTGGTGGATGTTGCTCCACGCTCAACATGGTTTTGAGATGTTTTGGGCAAGCAACAGGGTGGGTTGCTCCAAGAGTTGTTCCTCGGCGCTCTACCACTTGCCGCACCAGTGCCTCCTCGCGGTCAGGCTCTCCGACTTCGGATAAGGTCAGGAGGAACCTCGGTTCAGCTTGGGCCAGACCAGGACGGGCTATTAGGCCCTATCATCCCCATAATCAACCCTATAAAGGGCCTTTTTAAGGGATTATAGGGTATAATAGCCCATCCTGGGACATGGGTGCACCACGCTCGAGCCATCTTGAGTCTCTTCTACCATCGCCCGCGCCGCACGTGCTGATACGTTCGGGTCTCTCCATCAGTACAAACTCAGCTGCCCTGAACCCTAAACCCTTTTGCAGCAGGGGCCTGGATGGCAACCCTAAACCCTACACCCTAAACCCTAAACCCCAATCCCTGAACCCTAATTCCTGAACCCTGAAGCTGGAATCAACAGCTGCGGGGAACTTGCTTTGGCGGCAGCGGCTGCGCTTCCGGTCCATGGGCGCCAGCGAGTCCAAGCGCTGCCAAATCTGTTCATTCAGCTGCTCTGCCTTCCGGTTTGCACTGGGGCTGATATTAATACAGTAATATCGTAAAAATGCAATGTAGCCATGTAGCAATGTAGCAATGCAGCAATGTAGTAATGCGGTAATGTAGTAATGTAGTAACGTAGTAATGTAGTAGTACAGTACTATATAGTCATATAGTAATCTAGTAAAAAATATTTGAGAATTGCAATGATATAGTTATATTTAGTAATATAGCAATAAAATATAACAGTATATTTGTAAGGGATTGAAGCACTCCGAATTAGGCAGGGAGACGTGAAGAGAAACTGAAATGCTGCACTCCGAAAATCTCTGCCTCACGGGGGTTGTTGGTCTCCAGGACAAACGCCAGGCGTCCAAGGGCCTGTCTCTGTCTTGGAACCAAGATGGACGCCAGGCCCCCCCACCTCACCCAAAGCTTTCATACAGACTTGGACCATCCTTGTCAAGCTTCGGGCTGTCTTAGTCTTGAAACATCCTTGAACCCTCAAACCTCAACAGCGCCATCATTGCACCCAGGGACCGTCAGGGTGTCTGGGTGGCTGGGCCCTAGCTTCTGCTCCCGGCGTGAGACCACTTCCCTGAGGTGAGCCTCCGCCTCAGATGGACAAAAAAAACCAAGATAAAAACGCAAGCAAGCCAGACCGAGCCGGCAAGTTCTGCTAGGAAACAGAACGACGTGCTTCAGGCTGACAAGCCGCCTGACGGAAGCGAGTCTCATCGCCCTGAGCCAAGATGTGCGCCAGCTGACAGCGGGCCTGTCGGGATTCTTCGGCCGACATTCTTGAGGCTTATAAGGTGTAGGGCACAGTTCAAGTTTAGTCCAGCATTCGATGGGCCACCCGAATTTCGTGCGTCTTCCCGGCTCACAAGTGATTTGTGATCTGCCCTGTCCTTCAGGGTGTGAGCATCGTCTCGGCCAAAAGAGATGTGGCACTGGTCCACCAAGTTCTTGAGCATCTGCTCGGCGTCCATGAGCCGGCCCTGCCGGCGGATCACCTGCAGTTTCAAGCTGCGTGGTTGAGAGTTCTTCTCGGCCGAGCCAAGCAACTTCTCTGTGACACTATGAATGCACTATGAACGGCAGTCACTATGAACGGCAGCCAGGGAATACACGCGCACCTCAAGCGACGTCCTCCAAGTTTTTACAGTTTTGCATAACCGACAGTGAGTGCTAGATGGCCATTACCCTAAACCCTAAACCCGAAGCCCGAAACCCTAAACCCTAACCGGTGCAGTGCGAGTCGCATCCGCGAGGTTGGCCTTGGCACGCAAGGTGTTGGAGTGTTGGGGCCCCAGGGTGCGCTCTCGCACCTCCAGCACCTGCTTGTACATTGCCTCGGTAGCCCAGTAACCATCTTACATTATTGCAGTAAGGGCACCCTGTTTTTTGGGGGTTGGTTACTTTGTACCTTGAACCCAAAAGGGGTAAAAGGGTACCACTGGGCCACCAAGTTGCCTCACTCTCTTCTAGATTACCCATCTTGGCCCGCAGTGCTGCGAGGTTGAACTTCGAAGAAGTCACATCCCCGTGCTCCGCGCCGAACTTCGTCTCGAACTGCTTGCAAACCTCCGTGTGCAGCTTCTCTGCTTCCTGGAATTGCTGACACTCCTCCAGGAGCACTGCAAAGTTGTTCTTTGCCTGCAAGGTGCATTGGTGCTCTGCCCCAACATCCTTGTTGAATTGCTCGATGCACTGTCGGTACATTTCCATGGCCGCCGTTGTGTAGCCCTTTTCGTGGAGCTTCACTGCCGCTTTGTGCGCCTCGGCCAACCATTCGTTCTGGCCAGATGTGATCAGGGCCTTTCCTGCCGCTTGCTGCGCAGGGAGGCAAATCCACTGATTGTCACTGCTGGCACGCTCCCAGAATCGGGCCACAACATTGTGCACGTGCACCGCCAGCGATGTGTCGTTGCGATGCGAATGCCACACCTGCAGTAGCTGCTGCACAGCACCCTGCTCCGTCAGCACGTCCAAACCCTTCTCCTGGCAGGCGATGCGCTCGGCCGCCTTTGCCGCTGAGCGGCATACCTCACGATCCCCTGAACGCTGCTCCAACATGAGGGTCACCTCAGGCGCCTTGGTCCAGTCACCGGCCCCCACAGACTCGAGCATGGTGAGCACTGTGATCCGACTCTGGTCTATCTTCTCCTTCTTGGGCTCCTTTGGTTTCGGCGCTTCCTCCCTCGGCTTTGGTGCCCGTTGCTTGGGCTCCTCATGATGGACCTCGCAGCAGTCGCCCATTTCGACAGACGGTGTCCTCCTATGCTTGTACTTCCTACACCGTACTGCTGCCGTGACTTGTGAGCCGAACAAAGCAAGGATGCAATGATGCGGTGCTTTCAACATGAAGTGCTTCATGCCGTCTTGCTTGCAGCTCATCAAGTCAGCTCATCAAATCGAGACATGCCCTTGCAGCGTCATATCTTCGGACTGTGGCCACACAGCTATTGTCCTCCACAACCATGGGTGGCATTAGGGTGCTGGCGATCGCATCAATGCGCTGACGACTGAGCAAGCTGGGGGGTGCAGTTTGTTGGGTGCAGGAGGGGGGCTCTCAAGGGGTTTCGCAGCGGTTCATCCTGCACCAGGACTGAGGGTGGTAATTCGGGACAGAAACCCCACATGATTGTCGAGCTTGGCACAACTATGTAGGAGGCACGCAACCAAAGAGCATTGAACCATGAAAGAAGCCCAACGACGAAAGACACAACTCACCACTGGTCCCTCATCCGGAAAAAATGAACACAAACCGATCGGACCAACCCCCCAAACAGTTCCGTCATCTGAGGCTCCAGCGTCAGTTGAACCGACCTAGCAGCCAGGAACCTCGCCCGGCTGTTCCTTCAAAAAAGAGCCACTGCTTCAATTCAAGCGTCATCTTCTCTATGAGTACATCAGCCCTTGTCCTGCCCTGGTCTTCTCCCCAACCTGCCTCCCCCCCGGCCAACTGCCACCATTGTTTGGAGGGCCCCCTCCGGTAGAGTTCCGGCGAGCCAGTAGGATTATGCTCTAATACGGAATACGTAGGGTTTTTGCTGGGCTTTGGCTGTGTCCAGATTGGGGCTGGCGTCGTCCTCGGCGGGACTGAGATCCATGGCGAGAGCATTCGCGGGGCATCTGCAGTGCTTGCACAGCATGCGAAGCTCCCCGGCTGTACAAGTATGCACCCTAGGCTCCCCTCTCAAACTCGTGAGTAACTCGTGAAGCTCATGTAAAAAATTGCAATCACCATGAGGGTTCATGAGTTCGCAAGCCAGTCCTCTCTGCAGTCCAAGCCATGGTCGAGTTCACCAGGCTGGTGAGCACCCTCAAGATGCGTGTGCAATATGTCTCCGCAGACACTTTCCCTGGAGCCTATTGTGGGTGACAGGCTGTAGATGTACCAACTTGATGGCGTTCTACAGCCAGATCTGCCCTCTGAGGCGCTGGCAACAGCATTTTGGAAGAGGCGGACATGTACAGGTTGCACGCGTCTCCTAGCTGCGTTTCTTCCCGCGCAAGCCGAAAACCCCATGGACATCCCCCGCTTGACCCGGAATGCGAGGGGCTCCCCAACAGGTCTTATGGTTCAATTGCAAGTCGGGGGCTCGATACTTATTGCAGTACTAGTTTGACGATGACGATGACGGTGCGACTTCGAAGTCGGTTGAACCAAAAACCCTAAAACCCCAAACCCTAAACCCTGAACCTTAAAACCCCAAACAAGGCCTTCCGGGCCGCAGTAGGACCGCCAACAGAAGACCTGGGACCAAGGAGCATCAACTCAATAGGATGGAGCGATGGCTCAGAGTGACATGTTCGCTCCATCAGCCATGGCACCCGCACGCCCGTTGTCCTAAAAGATGTCTCACATCAGTTTGGCTTCTTTATCTTCAAGCAAAGAGAAATGTACCGTACGGCAGGACCAGGTGTGGAGACAAGGCTCTGAGGTCCAGGCCATCACCAGTGGCACCACCCAAAATACCTCAGAAACGACGAAGCTTTGAATCTACATACCTTACCTCGTTCCATTGGTCCAATGGGCACACACATGATGCACGCAGCAGTCCCGGTCCCTGCAGGATGCCGTCTGGGACAGGGCCGGTGTCAGGGCCGATGGTGTGACTTGGAGAGTGGCATGACCACTTGGACTGGCAGACCCCTTTATGCTTCAGACAAACCCTATAGGCCCTAAACCCTATGAAGCCTTTCGAACCCCAGAGGCCCCCAGAGGCCTGTAGAACCGATTGAAGCCGATACTTGCTCCCTGAGAATCTGGGCTCTCCCGCATTCGTGTGGGCAAAGCGGAACTGGTGCTGCATGGCGACCTTGGGGTTTAGGGTTTAGGGTTTAGGGTTTAGGGTTTAGGGTTTAGGGTTTAGGGTTTAGGGCACCAAGGCGCCGTTTGGCGGCTTGACATGTGGCTTGGAATGGCTTGGATCAAATGGAGTAACTGCTATCAAACTACAGCTGGGCCGAAGAGGCCGTCACGCTGAGATCCCGGCGAGGATGTAGACCGGAAACCTCAACATAAAATATAAAATATAAAATATAAAATATACACTATACTAAACATAATTCGATATTATCAATTTTGTTAATATATTCATTTATCGATTCAATTCAAGTACTGAGTACTCACGGGTGGCGATACCCTTCTATCAAAATTATCCGGACAGGTTTTGACACGGCAGGAGCCAGCATTCACGAATGATTCTGTAGTTCTTCGTGTCGATCGTAGCTAGGTTCTTTTCAGATCAATTCTCTTGGTCCGGCAGGCATCCACGGCCCGGCTGTGTTGTGCCCTTGCATCCGAGATGCATTATGAGCGAGAATACGCTCGAGTTGCGCCTGGCGCAACAGCAAAAGAGGGGTAGGGTTTTTGCCACCCGCCTAGCTGATCACTCTCGACCACTCCCTGCTTTAGGGTTCAGGTTTGTTTTTGTGTTTAGGGTTTGGGGTTTGTAGGGTTTAGGGTTTAAACATTCGTGGCTCATCATGCTTCGAGAAGCTCGTCTGCTCCTACTGACATGCCCGACAAGTGAGGAGCATCAAAGACCTGAAGCCGAAGCCCTAAACCCTAAACCCTAAACCCTAAACCCTAAACTCAAAACCCTAAACCCTAAACCCTTGCGGGATGAGGAACTGCGATGACCAGCGTTTGGCCGAGGCAGGTTTCTGGGACTTGACCTTTGAAAGGATTCATCGCGCCGCACGACTGGGGAGTCGTTGAGGGAGCGCGCCAACTTTTGGAAGGTGTCTACAGAGTCTACAGGGATTGAAACCCTGCACCACGTGACATTGCAGGCCTGTGAGTGGTCAGGAAGAGGTACAGGCCCTCCTTTGTGAAGGGCTCATGCACCTTGTGTTCGGGGCTTTGCGACGACTGAGGGTCTGAAACTGAAGCCGCAAACCCTGATGGCTTTGGAGGTTTGTGGGGCCTTGCAGAGCGTGGAAAGGATCTCTCTCAGTGATAGGCCCCTCATCGTGGAACACCCCTAACGAACACTAGCCTCCAACCCCCGCGAACCGACTCGGTGACCATATCCAGGAGGCCTCTTAGTGACGGACTGCAGTTTTTGGGAGTGTTGAAGTGAGGGTCACTTGCAACGGACGTTCGTCTCTGGCAAAACCCTGAATGAAAGGCTCCCCGACAGACCTTCAGAAACTTCTTTTCGGGGACTCCAGGACACCTGCAAACAGTCTAGGGATGGTCGGGGTTGGGCTTCGGCCCCTTCAGAGCTCTCAGGACCCTGGCCGAAGAGCCTGAAGTTTCTCGCGTGCCTGCTTGTGCCCGTTCTGGCCAGGAACAGGCAGAAACCGAAGTCCTAACACGGGTAGGGACTGCAGTCGGCGGTGGTCATTGCGACCCAGGCCCCAGTCCATGAGTATGCATAGTGAAGCGCAGAGTCTGGGAAGGAGGCGTTCGAGCCCCAGCACCAATTCGGTTACTCCAACTCGCGGTGACCACATACACCACATTCTGTCCGGGCCCCTTTGAGCTGCGCAGTGGTGCTGCGACACAAAGCTACTGGTTGCTTAAGAACCCCCAAAAGATCTGAATATTCGTCCTTATTTAGGGTAATATAAGGCTTTTTATGGTTAACTCTTTTGGGGTTCTTTAGCAAATAGTAGAAATTAAATGAGTCAGGCACCAAGGGCGTACGCTTTTCGTGTGCGATTGGGATAGGGATGGGCCCCGGGTGTGCGACGCGACCTTTGGGCCCCTTGCGATTATCACCTATATGGTTTTTTTTGGCACCCGTCTAGCCACAGCAATGAGGGGTTTGAAGGTCGGTCTCGGAAAAAGAGAAAGCAAGAATCACTCCATGGGTCACCTATATGGTTTAGGGTTGAGGACTGAGGGTTTCGGGTTCAGGGTTTGAGGGTTCAGGGCAAGTTTAGGGTTTAGGGTTTAGGGTTTAGGGTTTAGGGTTTAGGGTTTAGGGTTTAGGGTTTAGGGATAACCTTGAACGGCTACTTCCGTCTTACTGGGGTCTCGGCAGTGGGGAACCACGAGATCGCGTCGTAGGAGATGATGGTCAATACCTCTTCAGGTGTCACGGCTGGCGGGTGAAAGCGAGGATTTCGTGGCCACAGGGCCACTGACCGGAGGGTATATAGACTTGGGCATGGTATCCGAGCCACGAAGCAACCCGCTAAGCACCTGGGCACCACCGGAGTGAGAAGTGCTGGACCGTGTGCAGCATTGGTTGGGCAATTTTAGACTTGGACTTTCCGCAGCAGAGGGCAGTCTGTGGTTTCGGCACACTGAATGTGCCAAGACCAGCCCAATAGAAAGCGTTGCTTGAAGTTGATCATGCAGAACTAGTATGCAGCTGCAGAGTTTTGTAATCGCAAAGTCCAAGCATGCCTTGTACCTGTCTGCTGATCCAACGGAATGCCTGAGATCATGTGCGGCACCTTTTCTGATGCTGTTGGTCTGCGAGCGGCTCTCGGCTATAGGTCTGCGGGGCTTGAAATTTCAGCATGGGAGGTTGGCAAGGACGGTTGTCGGCCGAACGTAGGCGCATGTTTTATCCCTCTGCCTTTGCGAATATAAGCGCTGTGTCAGACTTACAAACGAAAAGCATGCACGTAAAGATGGTGGTGACATTTGATGATCTTCTTAAATGTTTACACAGGAGCCCAACTGCTTGTATATGGAGCTTGTTTACTGCTCCCTCCCAGCCCGAACTTTACATCTACTGCAATGCCCTATTGAAGTAGGCTTCTTGGCATGTCAACCCTGCAGACAGCAATTGTCCACTCGTGCAGTATGGCAGCACGCCCTTTCCGCATGTCTTGGTTACGGGTCACACGAGGAAACCAAGTGAAAGCCAAGAAGAGCATTCAGTTTGCGTTGAAACCAAGTGAGTACCATTGGTTGATGAGACTAAACCACGTTGTGTTTTTGGTCGCATATATATATATATATATACATACGTACCAGCAACCCGCGCAAGGGGACAAACTTTGTCAAGCTATAGCTGCGGGGCTACGATGAACAAACCTGTGGCAGCATGAACGGAGTGCAACTATGTTGACACCAAAATAGCCGCAACATAGAATATCTCCAAAATACTGCGATACTTGCAGCACGGCAGTCACAGGACATGCAGACGAAGCCGCGCGCCGCGCATGTTTTGACACACAATTAACATACACATCAATTGTTTCACTTTAGGGGCTCGGCATGCGCAGGTACCAAACCTGTATATGTTGGGCCCCCAAACTGTTTGTTAAACCACCTGCGGCAGTACTTCTGCTGCACTTCTACGTAAGGACTTTCAGTACGTGGTGTGTCCCCGTTCAACTGTTTAAAGTACGATTCCCCAATGGTATCTTGGCTAGATTTTATTCTAGAACCCGCACAAAACGTATTGTGAGCAGGATCACATTTCTTCTTGCCTACATTGGAAAGAAAGCGCAGGAATATGTCAACACAGCGCCCGCGTGCACGAATAATTGGGCAGCGAAGGTCGTTTCACACACTTCGTGCCGTCGGGCGCCTTTACGCCCATGCTGGAAGCGTCTCGTCATATCATAACATCTGTGCAACATTGTGCAACCCTCCCAGCTCAGGCCGTTCTTCGCGAGCTTGACCGCTGCTCGCAGTGCTTCAGAGAAGTGGTGGAGGTCATCTTCAGTGGCCGCCTTTGGGCACAAAGTGCCCAATGAATGGTGGCCAGACATCCCAGAGCCTCCGCCTGCCCGGCAGGTTTCGTCACGTTTCGTCCACAGCAGAAGCCTGCATCGACATCTCTTGACATTCCTTGGCCAGTGAGGTTCAGGTAGTTCTCGGCCCGGGCACGTCGACGTCTCCATCACGGCATTCCAGTCATTTCAGCAGGCGACGCGCCGGTGCCTGGCACAAAGCCCAGAAACTTTGCAGCGGCGGCTATGTGATGGTTCTGCTCCACGATCTCCTGCCAGATGCCCGCGGTATAAGGAAGTGGGAACCTAGTCATGGCTGCTGAAGTCGCAGCCTCCATAGTAAAAGATCCCTCTTTTCCATGCAATAGAGAGTCTTGGATACTTAATGCTCCTGCTAGCAAGATGAGTCCGAAAGCCTCAAGCAATTATCAGTCCAATCTGAGGTTCTTAAGCACAGACGTTGAACGAAGTCCAATTGCGCAGCTACAGGCTTTACAGCAGAGCGACTCCACAACACCCCAACCACAACAGAGTCTTTCCTGCAAGGCTACACCTGCAGTCAAGTGCACGGCGCACTCCATAACAAACAAATGCAAGAAACCATCCCGCACTTGAGCCTCCCCATGTGTCTGACACAAAGCAGCCAACAAGCGTCGGGCATGGTGATGATCTGCCTGAGATGGCGCAGGTAAGGCAAACGCCAGAGCTTTGGGCTCAACCACTGTGTTGATCCACGTGCTTCGGGGGGCAGTTCGTGCTATGTACAGCTGGGGCATCGTGCATGTCTGTTCAAGAACTTCCTTTGCAGGAAGCACAGCACTAGCAGGCACAGGGCCCGTAAAATCATTGATTTTAATACTCTCATTGTGTAGAGGAACCAGTTCCCGCCCGACAAACTGCTTGCTTTGCTTTGCAAGATCTCGGATATCAGGCTGCTATCGCCAGCACGCCCGTCACGGCGATCTCCGAAAGATGCCTGGTCGCCTGCGTCAACCCTTTGGGTTTGGGGTTTAGGGTTTAGGGTTTAGGGTTTAGGGTTTAGGGTTTAGGGTTTAGGGTTTAGGGTTTAGGGTTTAGGATCTCAAGGCAGCAAAAGCCAGACGTGAAGCGCGGATTGTTACTGAGACCAGTTGTCATGGTATGCGCAACATCTCAAGGCCGTGAGTAGAGCCCTGCCTGTGCGAGGACCCGTCGCTCCAGCAGCTTGTGCTTGAAATCCGCTTGAATCAAAGCTGTTGCCTTGGGTTCGTATACCGTAGGGTACCAGATTCCGGGATCCTCGTCACGCTTGCAAATTAGGTTGGGCTGGCAGGAAATTGCCACGAGGGTTCCACATAGAGTAGTGTTTAGGGTTGAGGGTACTTGTCACATCTGTATTTCATACTTTCGACAATCAAGGGCCACCCAACGTCTGTACCCTCCAGATCCAGCCAGCGTGACATCGTTGTGTGTTTACAAGCTCGTGTACCCTGCGAGCATATCTAAGGCTTCAAGAGTTGATGCCTGAGGCGAGTCAAATCGTTTAAAGGCCGGAAGTCGAAACATTCCGCAGCAACAAGTCAAGCAAACTTCGGAACGGAACAGCTCGAGCCTTGATGAGGGGCTCTACTTCTACTCTATCCGATCTGTCCAAGATCAAGAAGAAGCCTCCCATAGAGTTCCCCTTCCAATCTCCGACTCTGCGACTACGTCCGCCAGGCTGGCAATGTCGCTGTTTCCTGGGCACTCATGAATGCAATGCTACATGCTGCGTCGTTGGCCTATGCTGATTCGGAGAATCTGAGTTCGACAGGTTTACAGCGTCCAAGCTTTGCAGTGGATTGCGTCCACAGGCCTCAGGCCTCAGCGACATGATTTCATGGACAGTACAAGACCAAAAAGAAAAGCCCCTTCGATACAGTAAGTTCTCCAAACCGGGATGGGTGAACCAGTGGCGCAAACCGAAGCGGGCACAGCACTATAGACTGCCACCCCGTGAGAGAAAATCGATTTGCCACAAGCTCCGTTCAGCTCCAGCAAGGCAGTTGCGACGGCCACGAAGCATCGAGTCCTGGCAAAATCTGCGCAAAACGAAGCGCGGCTCAGTGTGAGAACCAAAACGGCAAAATTCAAACAATTCGGAGCACTCCTGTCTTGAACAACCCAAAATCTACGGATGCTGAATCCGGGCGGACCATGGAAAGGATCATGGGCTTTCGTGCTGCAGCTCAGAATGATGGGAATATCACTGCTGGTAGAACTTCCAGGTGTCCACTGCATTCAAGATTCTTGAGCTCGTCCGGCAAATCGAGATGGCTTGGTGTGATGGATCCTGACACGGGTGTCGTGTCAGCAGTTTAGTTCAGGGTTTAGGGTTTAGGGCTGCCTTGATTGAGTACGATCATCCGTCCGGATCTCTACACCAGCAGCAGGCAACCTTTTCGGCAAGCTCATCTTGCTATGCCCTGCACATGGCCGCATGACAAGCAAACAACCCAAAGCTTTCTGCAGACCGTAGAGTACTGCTAATACCCCTAATAACCCTAGAACCCTAAAACCCGGTTTGGCTCCTCTCCAAAGCCTTGCAAGCAGCAGCGCCAGGGTAGAGATGTGCTGGGCCTCATAAAATCTGGACGTCTCCAGCATTGTAGCGCCTGGCTCAGATCGCAGAATCAAGCCGGCGCGCTGGCACCACATCTGTCTTGGACCATGAGCTGTGTAGAATTCGCCCTGGATGAAGCGCATGACATCACTCCATGTGCAGTGAACCGACCGAAACTTGACATCGGTTTTGATGCTATTGTCCCACAAGTTTTTGGACAGGGGTCGGGTTCGGGGCGAGTTCGTCCGAAATAGTGACTGCTAGGGCAAGTAAAGTACAAGTATCTCGACCACTACGAACAGAGCAAGCAAAGGCGCCTGTTTTTGAGTGCCAGGACGCTGCGCTGAAATGGGCTAGTAGTGAGTGAGTGGGAAGCATCGGTGATTCTGGGGGCGGGGCAGTGGGAAAGCATCGTCTGCCAAAACTCAGAGCTGTCATGCTGCAGCTGCGCAGCTAGCTCCTCAGCTCGGAGATTCGGGCTAAATACAACCCAGTTCTATCTGTACTTGTAAGCCCCCGAGACCCCCAAGTCCTCTAGGTAGGTTATAAGTAGGCTTCTAATTGGGGTTAGAAGTAGCCATGAACCTCCAACAAGGCATTCATTGGGGTCGTTGTTGGCTGTGGAAAGTTAGGATTGCAGCGTGAGGGTGTCGAGGTTTCAGGGCAGCCTCCAAAGCTAAATGTGAGATCTTCCGTGTTAAGGCCGCTCATGGTCGGCCCGAAAACTGTATAAAATGTTTGCTGGGGACTGCGAAAGAGCAAGGTCTTGCACAAGGGCAAGGGACTCGAAAAATAGGGGCCGCATTGGGGCGTATGCAAAGTGACAAAATCGCGACAGGAAGTCCTGAACCCCGACCCCATTACAGCGAACCCCAAACCTTGAACCAAGAACCAACTTGCAGCCAAACACCTATGCAATGCCAATGCCATGAACAACGTCCCAAAACCCCTGAACGCCCAGCACAACCAAAGCTGCCAGGATGTTCACCACAGCTGAAGCTTGCAACCTCGGCCACGAGAATCTGCAACAACGAGGGACAGAGAAACCCTAAATCCTAAACCCTAAACCCAGGGAGGCAAGAAAAGAAAAACAGTAGGGAAAAACGAGTCTGCTTCGCCGAGATATTCGGCCCGGGCCGAATTGATACCGTTGATTGTCCTTGTATGGAGAAACTTTAATGGCTGATACAATGGGTGGCTGGTGTGCAGAAACTGATCATAAGGGCAAGCAGGCCGTCATATACTCCAAAAATGGCTCGTACCTCCGACCACAGAAAGAAGCGCAGAAACCAGTACATCCTGTACAGAAAAAAGTGATCCTTTCTTAGACCTCGCACAAAAGAAAGGTCAACCCATTGATGCAGAGTGAGTTCGTACATGGAGCGAAATAACTCAGTGAGTGAGTCAACCTGTGTGGATGAGTGAGTGAGGGGGTGGGTGACTGAGTGGCTGTGTGGTTGAGTGAGTGAGCCCGACAGACCGAGCCCGTGCACGAGGGCGAGCGAGGAGTAAGTGATTGAGGAGGTGAGTAGGGGAGTGCGGATATGTTGCCGTCGCCGGTGAGAGGAGGAGTGTTCTGAGGGGGGGGGGGGGGGGGGGGAGCGACTGTAGATTCCCAAAACACCATGTTTGGACAAAGGAGCAATCTTTCCTTCCAGGGCTCCTAGATTCTGAACTAATGCCCTCAGGCAGGCCACTTACATGTGACTAATCTAGGGGGATACTCAACCCTTGACTTAGTTGCTGAGTAACCTGGATTTAGGGTTTAGGGTGTAAAACCGACAACTGGCCACCCGCAGCATTCCAAAGGCCGGAAGCATGAAATCCTAACGGGGCCTTGAAGGTTGGAAGCCTTAACTGCCTTAGAGCCTTAGCTGGTATACTCCGGGGAACATCTCACAATGGAATTCTTGTCCGGGCTTCTCGAGTTTCAGAGACTAAGGCTTCATGAATCTCAAAGGCTCCGAGGCCTGAAGATTGGAATCAAAGGGTTTTGGCTTTCGAGCATTGATGCCTCAGGCTGAAACATAATTGCGCGGGGAGGGCTAAAAACCCGAATTGGCTCCAAGTGGCCTTGAAAGTATGGTGACGAATGACGTGCATGCTCTGGTGCTAAGTGGTTGAGTGCCATGGGGGGAGGGGGGGTGTCTTTGCAGGCAGGGCTCTATAGCAACTACTCTGTAAGCCATCTTCTGTGCGATCAAAACAAGGGTGCATTCAGCACCCTGAGAGCACGAAGTTTGAAGTTCTACAGTACAAGCCGAGCCCGGTAACTCTCGGAGCAGGTGAAGGCTGTGCCGGAAAAGAGGCTCGCATAGCCGGCGGGAAGGCGCGAGGCCTATGGCAAAAGAACACCCATGGAGTTTTACCACGCTTGGAACTCACAAGGGTCGCAAAGCCTTTTCTGTCCCTAACCTGGCCTTCAATGCGCCGCGCAGCGCACACGGTGAGTACGAAGTCCGAGATCCTTAGCCGCATGGCTGTGCTCAACTCGGCAGTTTAGACAGGGCTCATAAGGGGTGTCATCCTCCCGGCATCCTGGATTTGGGAGGATTAGTTCCTGCCAGAGATGGGTACAAAAACAAAAAAGACCAAAAGACAAAAACACGCATAGCAACCGGCAGAACTCCTAACACGCCTAATCATCAAGAAAGCACTTACTTTCATTCGTGCACATGAAATCCCACCAGCACCGGCGAGCTTGAGGTCTCCCAAAACTGGACTCCGGCACTTGGCTCTTGCTTCTACGCGGCCAAAACATCGAGTGTTGCCACTTCCTGGTTGATCCCTAAACCCTAAACCCTAAACCCTAAACCCTAAACCCCTGAGCCCAGAATGACACACTTCAGATAACTTTTAGATCCAAGCACACTTCCAAGCACGCTCACTGACGTGCTGCAAGCACGTCGAATGGTGCATGGCCATTGAGTTTTGTGTCGTTCGTGCTCTAGAAATTTTGGCATTTAGCGATGTACTTTCCAACTTTTTCCGCACAGATCCTGAAGTTGCGACCTCGCTCTTCAGAGAATCCACCGTGACATAAATAGAGACTCGTCACTGGAGGATGTCCGGCTCAGTATGTGCTGCAGGGTATGCGCTGCAGGAAATGGAGGCACCACTGCACCCAGGTTGGGTTTAGGGTTTAGGGTTTAGGGTTTAGGGGTTTAGGGTTCAGGGTTCAGGGTTCAGGGTTCAGGGTTTAGGGTTCAGGGTTTAGAAGGACGTCTGGAGCAATCTGCTCCGCGCGTCGGGTGAGCACATGGCAAATCCGACACTTGAGGTTGACACTCAAGGGCCCTCATGGTGGCGGAAGGTGAAGTGTCTCAATAACACTCTCAACCAAGAAGGGCAATCAGAACTACGCAACATCCCGGCTACTACAGCATGCCAGATACAACCCTGGTTCACACAACTCTTGATCAGCTGCGTGTCGACATCTCCTCGATCACCTGCGGCAAGCTGAACTCCACAACCTTGCGCAAAAGGCTTGGTGATTAAGGGTTCCGCTGTTCAAAGCGCTGCTGCAACGCAGAACGGCCACTTTACTGCAGGGCCATTTTTCCTGGCTTCAGGAGCCTTCTTATACCTTTATGCTCTCGAAATCAGACACTGCCTTGGGCCCGGAACCTTCCACACCCCTCTTCACCAAGCTTGGGGGGCTCGGGGCTTAAAGCCGTTTTAACTTGGCGAGGCTCCAGGACATGTCGCTTTACTGTTAAAGATTGCGAAGCAGCGATGTCCCCCCCCCCCCCCCCGGGAAAACTAATTCACAATGCGGTGGCCAAAGTTCACGTGCACTAGCCTGGTGCTTGGTACCGGCAAGCGCAAAGCATCTGGAGGCGAAGGGTTGCGTCAACTGCGTCTTGCGGATGCATTGCGGAGGTAAATTCACGCGTGCAAACGATCGTCACTTCTCGCCTTGAAATCGAAGTGACGCTGCCAATCAAGACCGCGCACCGCGAAGAGTACTTGGGATGGTCGCGAAACAACGGCACTGATGCTGGGACAAAGATGCGCATACACATATACAGTATGCGGGTGCTACTCCTTGCCAAGGTCTTATAAGCAACAGGCCGAACTTGCGGCTGCGTGCAGCACCCTTGCCTTCACGAAGTCTGAGCTGGAGAAGGCCAGGCGCGTCGCCTAGGGGCATCACACACACACACACAGACAACCTCTTCGCATCCGTCCTGCATCGCAAGTTCGAGTTTATTACCTGGACAGTGAGGTCCCTAGCACTGAACTTTCGCAGCAGAATGCAGAATTTATACTGGCACGCACAGCAACGCCTTACTAAGTACTCCAGACCCTTACTTTGGGCCCTTGGCGAGCTACTCCAAAATCGGCGTGAGCGTATGTTGTAGATACTTATGACACAACAAAAGCGACCAAACCTTGACAGACCTTGGAACTTAGTGGGACTTGCAGGTCAGACATACAATTGCTAGGCTTCAAGCATTCAAGCATGCATTGGGCCCATTTTTGGGCGGAGGCTTTGCCCTCGCGAGACCGGCTCTACATGGCTCTACAGGTACTAGTTCTTCAGCTTCCGAACTCACAATCGTCGCTTTTCTTCTCAGGCGTTATCTTCTCCCACGGCTATATCCGAGAAAGCTCGTCGAAAAGAATACCGTGGATGGCAGCTGCTCATCCCTTCACATGTCTTTTAGACGTCACCCCTGCAAGGATCCTCTCAGGATTGTGGCAGCGGCCTCTGTCTCACAAAACAGACGCGGGAGCGTTGCGTGTTGAATCGCCATCCAAGGTATTGTGTTGCAAAGTGTTTGATGCTTTATCAACCTCGGGTTCTGCTGTATTATGAATTCAATGCATTCTCAATGAGCACTTGTACCCTGCTCCTTAGCTTGGGGACTCGGGTTTCTTACTTCAGGTGTAAGGGACTCCTAGTCATATCTAGCAGGTTCCGGGCGTAGGGTTGCTTGCCTCAGAGGTTTAAGCGACACACAAGCCAACCAAACAACCAAAGAAACTGTCAAACAACCATCAGCATACCGAGCAAACAAACAAGCTAAAGAAAACTCACAAACCAGGCAAGAAAACCAAAGCCAAGCCAGCTCAAACCAAACACAATACAAAGCCAGGCCTCATGTAATGCAGACTTAATGAGCGCCTTTCCCGAAGAGGCCGGATCAGACAAAACAGCAGGCTCAAAGCAGGCTCAGAGAATTACAAGACTTCGGTACCAACACGCATAAATACACAAAAAATGCAGACCGTGCTGTGAACCGTGCTCCGGGACCGTACTTTGTTCCGGACGGCGCGTGGCACCCGGCCTCGTGGGCCGTGGGCGGATGCCTTTTGTTTCACGGTTAACGTACTGTTTGGCCATCGAAGCGATTATACCCACATGGTGACGTACCGTTGTGAGATGGCATGCGTGCAGCCACTTCTCTGGCCCTCCTGCGCCCTCTGACGAATCCAATTCAATTCCTCCTGGACGTTGCGTTTGCTGACGACTTGGCAGTCTGAGTTGAATCCGACTGTGCCTCACAACTTGCTGCCACAGTGCAGGGTGTTTCGGTCGGGACTGTTCAGACTTGCGCTAGACTCGCTAGATGGGACAAATCAAGACTGCCGCACTGTGTTCGCCTGGTTCAGAAGAGGTTCGGCGGCGGCTGGGGCTTTGGTCTTTGGATGGATCTGGTGTCCCAATACAGACGCTTGGGCAGTGTTGTGTCACACGACGGCATTGGGGAGTGAAGCATCACCTACGAGGTGCAAGAGCTGTGTTCCACGACTGCAACAAGTTTGTGACATGGTTCCGCGCCCGTCCTTGGCACGCTTGTCTCTGGCGCGGGTTATGCGCGCTTGGCCTGTTGCAACGTGAACTTCTGGGCTTGAAAAGCTTGCCATCCCCTCATATCAGCGATGGTCCGATAGTTGTGCGCTTGTCGAGGTACGGCCTCTCCCACAAGCCTGGCATTTTACGTCGTTGCGCCACGTATTCATGCGCATCAGTGTGCCTGCCAAGAAAAAGCACAGCACAAGGCAGAAATCCAAGTTGGGGATAGGCCAGGCGATTGTCGAGAAAGGGAGCGTTCGGCTTGTCTTTCAATCTGTTGCACCAGAAAAAATCTGCTATCAAAGGCGCATCTTATCAGACTCTAAGCCTCCCGGAAGAAAGCAGACCGTGCTCACTGCACGAGCTCACCAGGCCAAATCCGAAGAGGGTATAACCTGCCCTTGCTCAACACATGGCGGGCCATGATGAGCCAGTATATCAGCAAACAACCATGAACCACAGGACCACTTGCAACAAAACATCTCACCGACATCAAGCTCCGCTCCCCATCAATCGGCGAGACGAGGGTCTCTGTACAAGGCCCCTTTTGTGCCGAAAACAGAACGCTGCCAGAATAGGCGCACCTGTGGCAGAGGCCACCGGCTACGCAAATGTGCTTTCTCATGCCTCAAGCCTGAGCCGAAGGCTCCAACAGCTCACTTAGTGCATCGAATCCGTGCGACTTCAAGATACTGGCTGCCAGATTGCCTTTCAGCTCGTGCAAAGGCTCAGATGGCTCCCGTAGCTTTGCAAGCCATTCTCTGAGCTTCCATGCCCCTTGGTACACACGAGGCGCGTACTTGCGAACGAACCTTGGCTTGCAGATTCGAAGCCCGTCTACCACGAGCTCATTACAACAAGCAGCACACACGCACACACTCGGCGACCGAAAGACTGGTGTGCCCTAGCTTGAAGCCCAAAGGTTTCTCGACCCACCCTGGAGTGTGAGGATCCTTCTTCGCAGCTAGTCTACAGACATACCGGGCAGGTTTGCTGCAACTGTGGATATTTTGGAAGGGCCCTACGTGTTAACACTTTTAATTCCACCTCCGAAAGAATTCCGTAGCCCAGGGAGCTCAACATCGCCAGACTTGTCTTCTCTGTCGTTGAAGCGAGGCAGCTCGGCCACTGCCTGCCCAGAACGCATCAAAGGCTATATTCTTCAGAGTGGCCGAGCTGGAGCTTGGTTGAGCTTGTGTTAGTCTACCCACACTTGGGAGAAAGGAGCTTTGTGACAGGGACTGCATGAGATGAGGGCCACGGTCTCTCCGAGTCTAAACCTCCTCGACTCGCAATGATCACGGTGCCCTGCACCTTGATGGCTGCAGCGCCATCGAAATCCACGCATGCGACGTGCAAGCACAGCTTCGCTGGGGGCCAGCCATAGCTTTCTCCTCAGGCGAGGGTGCGCCATCCCCCAGTGGCATGACACTTAAACCCCATCAAGCCATAAAGCCTCCATCCGCACTTTGCAGATCAACACGTGACCATGAACCACCCATGAACCTTAAATACCAGGCTTGAAGCTGAAAAGATGGCCTGGGAGGGTGGCCACCCCCGTCTCGTCCAGCAGCCGCTGCGCGAGCTCCCCAGACGTCGTGATGCCCTGCTACGGGTGCTATGCGTGCTCTCCCCCAAAACAATTGCAAGCATGAGGGCAAGCGTAGTTAAACCCAAGTTCCAACAATGCAGCTTTCTGCCTGTCAAATCCTATCAATATCTTATCTTTATTTGTTTGTGCGCTAATCTGCATAGATACGTCGTGCTCCATCTGCCACAACTGCAGCCAGTCCTCGAACCTACTCCAACCAAAGCCAGCCTTGTTGGGTAAGCCCCTTGACCCTTCAGCGTACCTTGCTCGTAAATGCCTGGCGACGGTTCCTTGGCAAAGAGCAGAGGCTTTGGTAGCTGGGCCAAAGAGGCTGCATGGTTCATCGAAGGCTTACTTACTTTGCTAGAGCATTTTCTGTTTCCTGGCTAAGCAGCACGCTCAGAGACCCCCCCAATCTGAAACTACCAGTATCAGACCTTTGAAGATACCATTCTGAACAGCCAAGGCATATCTTGCAGACCTGGGCCTGTTCAAACAACGTGCAGATCATGCACGAATCACTCATCCAACCTCACAATTCAAAGCTTCGATTCGAGGCATGGACAGTGGAATTCGGATGACTTCGGGTGATGTTGATATCGGCGACGCGATTGACGTTGTGCGCGCTTCTGGCACATCCATCTGCGCCGTATACCGTCTTCGAAAGCAACGAGCAACTGTGCGCCACAAACGGGGCGATCTTGCATATATGCACGGTGCACATTCGGAACCGCGATCAACGACCCTATTGGCGTTTCCGCAAGCCCAAGACGATCTCGCTATCAAGAAGGGCCATGCATATAGGGCCCGCGGATGTCGTGCATCTTGATCACTGCACTTAACAACAGGTTTAAAGGTTTTAACCCTGCATGGAGCAAATATCGAATCATAATACACACGATGACCGTTATTTTCTGGAAATGTGGCATCACTTCCTTCGCACTCTCGCGTTTGGAGCGTTGGTCGGGTGCGAGCACTGTTGTTTACGCGGAATCATAGAAGACACAAGACACACTTCTCAAATGGATGCTGGGACTCATGATGTGGACTCATGGACTTGATCGCCCTTCTGTTTCCGAGACGCACTTGGCTATCGTGACAGCTGAGCTTGCGCAAGAAAGCACGCCGCTGGCGCTAACAAATCACTTCAATTGCTTTTGAAGGTTCTTGCCTGGCACGAGGGGCGTGGATGAGGCAAGCTGAAATGGGCACGCAAGTGGGGCCGCGGTCCAGGTGCGGTCCCTCGCACATGTTGCCCCGTGACTTTGCACTTTGCGCCTTCTCGGACCGTTCGCTGCAGTCCCATGCGCCCACTTGGATTCGGGTTCATGCGGAGTTCGGTGCCTAAGCGCCAATCAGGCCCTGCAGACCAAGAAACCTGCCTCCGAATTGGCTTAGTGCTGTCCATGATTCCCAGACTCAGCGTCGACCCACGCGTAGAAGCCACCAGTGGGTACTACCACGTCGCAGGGCGACCCTGACACGCGATCTGGAGATCTCGGTTTTTTTGTTGGGCTGGTCGTCTGCTGCTAGTGATATCACACATTAACATTCAAGTAAAGATTGGCCCCCCTGCGCCACCAACATCCGCAGCAAGGAAAGAAAGTAAACAAGGTAGGCAGTCCACAACATTGACAGTTTCAGCTTCTAGCCTGATGGATGCAAGAAGAGAACCGTCCTACCAGCCCCGAATTTTTCACAGGCCGCATCGTGCATGCCATGCCACCATCAAAACCCAGACTGCGGGTTCGTGGTGCTTCTTTTCTTGACCGACAGGGCACAGGACCCCCCTAAAAAAAAAGCACCCATCAACTGGTCCGATCTTCCCCTCCCTGTTGAGACCACTGATCGCGCTCACCACGAACAGCTGATCTCTCTCTCTCTCTCCCTCTCTGGCTTTTTCCGTTCCTTCGTGCTTAGGCCTCTGATTGAGAGTTTCTTTGTTTCACTGTTTTGTTGGTTTGATTGGCGTTTGGTCACTGGGACTTGCGAAGGAACATCCACAGCGGGCGGCCTGCATTCACCACCTCCGCAAAAGTCTCGCCGACGGCACCCAGAATACATCGTGAGGCCTTTAGGTAATGGCGGACCTGGCGACCCTCGGCGGTGTCGCGGTGGGCTGTGAAGGCTGGCACAGCGCCGTACTGGATCGGAGCCGCCACGCACGAGTGGGTCTCAGAGGCATAAACAGCCATGGCATTCAGCAGCCACCGGAGGTCGCTTGGGAACACGAAAGCACCTAGGCGCCAGCCACCTGCCCCGGCCCACTTGGAAATGCCGGTCAAGGTGATGGTGCCCTCGGGGTAGTGCTTGGCAAAGGGCTCATGTTTGCCATCGAACCTTCGATCATGACTTAAGTTATAAGGTTTATAGAACACTGTTGCGAGAACCAATAGAGACGCACTTTAAGCACTACTTTAGCGGTGGGTCTGCAAATTGACCCCCTTGAAACTCAAAATTGAAGCTCGGATTTGGCGCCGAAAATCGGCGCGTGCGGGTTGAAACCGAAATGTGTGCGGCATTCCTGCTGGCTGATGCCTAAAATTGCCCTGAGATCGGCGCTGGAGCCTAGATTCGGCTTTCGGAGCCTGACGCCTGAAATGCCCCTGACGCCTACATTTCCGCGATACGAACCCTCGTGTTTACGAGCCCCACTTTCTTGAGTGTTCTGTGATACTGATGTCATCTTCGTCTGAATTTCGTCTTCGGACTTCGCCTTCGTGGGCGCCTTAAGCTTCAGCTCCATGCAAACAATATTGGAGCACGAAATTTCTGGGCCAACCAAAAAACCCTAAACCCTAAAAAACAGATGGACGAAGAAGCTGCTGGTAGTCGTAGATCTCATCTGCCAAGACGAGCAGGCGATGTGCCCGAGCTACGGCAGCCAACTCCCGAACGGTGCTTGCCTCCACTGCCGTGCCAGTTGGATTGCACCTTCAAGTTTTTGGTTTTGGGGGGGTTTTAGTTTAGGGCTTTTTTCCCCACCCGTGAGGTTTAGGGTTAGGGTCTAGGTTTTTTTCCCATTAGGGTTTAGGGTTTAGGGTTTAGGGTTCGAATCGGTTTGAAGAGAGCTGGTTCGTGGCCAGTGGGAAGAAAGCCAGGTTGTTGAAGAAGAAACAACATGCCATCAGCCCAGGCACGGGTTGTTGAAGATAAAGAGGCGATTCGGCCCCAAGTCGCCACGACGGCATGCCTGGTCCAGATCTTCAGGATCCATCTTCCACTTCTTCTCGGCCATCGTCTCTACCCAGAACACGCGACGACCAAGAAGCTCTGCTTGTGGTGCATAGGTCACCCAAGCTGGCCGCGGAAGCAGGAGGTCGCACCTCAAAACGGCCTGAAGCAGGTACAGCAGCTGCTTCGAGCCGGGCCCGATGAGGACGTCTTCGGCTGTGACATCCACGCCTTTGTGAAACCTCGCCTGGCAACTCCGAGACTGAGACCAGTGCATCACTTCTCTGAGTCTGCAGAATTCAATAGCAAAATAAGTATGATGATCGTCTATTGCGATTGGAAATTGCTGAATTTGAACGCAGGTGGGCATGAGGTGAGCTACCAAATCAAGGAACACCCCTACTCAATGGACGAAGGGCCCAGTCGGCAATTGTCTCGCGCAGGAGGGGCAGGCCCCTCACCGGCAGGTAGTCCTCCAGGCTTGGAGTGCTGTCTCTCTCTCATGCATTGGCAAATTCATGTAGCTCTTACCAACATGAAAGCAGATGTAGCTGAATGTTATGCCAGCCCGGGCCTTGACGTGCGCATGTGCCTGGCACTCTTTCACCTTAGGTCAGGACAGGCAGGCAGCGATGTGCGAATGGTCTGGCGCAGGCGGTGTGATGTGCCATGGACGAGCGGTGATGATGATGATGATGATGATGATGATGATGATGATGATGATGATGATGTGGGAACTGGCAAGCTATACCGGATTAAGAGCAGGATGCAGCACCTAGGCCTGGCTCAGTGAACTCAGGGCACACATAGCCACGAGTGATGTGCCACGGAGTTGAGGCCCATGAGTGACCCCAAGCGACAGACCTGAAACGTCTCCAAACATTTGGCCAAGGAGCCATAGGCTCAGGCACAGGGAAGGGGCTTTGACCGAAGCCAATGGCGTAGACTTCTTCGCCTGCATCCCGCTTTCTCCTGGCGCATTCCTTGGCGGTTCGTTATTGGTTCGAAACTCGTGAATACATGTTGTGGGGCTTTGGCAGGTTTGGGGGACATGTGCGTCGCCTTCAGAAGCAGCAGTCTAAGGGACACGCGCTCGCATCGCCTTGAGACGCGCCGCTTTCAACACAGTCTTGCGCTGAAATACTGCGATACAGTTCAATGGGCTTGAGTACTGTCTTGAGCTCCGCAACACCGCTTTTGACGAAAGATGTGGGGTTGCAGGTTCAGGGGGGATTCCAGCTCACGCACTTCTAGCTTCCTATACCAAGTGAACAAGTAAGTCGTTCCGCGTCGGGCAAAAGCATTCACGAGAGTGTTGCCACGCCGACAGGATGTGGAGTGGCACTTCACTGCACTTTGAAAACCGACCTTCCAGGACTCGCGCCATCGACTCTTGCGAGTCGAATTCTCACATCCGTGCCCTTAAGCCCTCAACTTGCCTCGTTTCCAGCCCTTTGTACTTGTACCAAAAGCCCTGCGCAAGCCCTTGCCCAGAACCCCCACATCTCTTCACATCTGAGCTGCAGAAATGGATAAGGTTGCGCTGATTTTGCGGTTCGCAACCTTCCGTAGCCGGTGGGAAGCCAGAGGATTCTCAGATTGTTCTGAAGCGTACCAAATCTACACACTCAATGTAGCTTATCCAGATAATGCTGCTTAACGCCCTGAGCCCACGTGATGCTGCACACGACGCGCCTCTGAGACAAGAGCATCGGGCGTTATTGGCGACATGGCTACAGCAACGCTGGCTGCTGAGAGCCCTTTGGTCTACGCACCTTGAGGCCTGCGGACGAGCGAGGTGTTGGCTTTTCCACTTCTGTGGCTCCACGTCGGCGCGTGGCCGATGAGCCGTTTATATCAGGTGCTATAGCATTTGCGCTAGCTTGTGAGTCCGGCTCTTTCCAAGTTCCCAAAGCATCCCTCCAGGACAACGGAAAACCCTTTTGGAGATCAATGGGGTTAACTCTTGGTTGTAATCTATAGTTTGGGATGTTCCCCCTTATACTAACAGTCCTCAATAGGGATTATAACTCTTGATTGTAATCTATAGTTTGGGACGTTGCCCCTTATACTCACAGTCCTTCATAGGGATTATCGTACCCCCGTACTATTAGCCCCATTAAGGACTGCTAGTATCAGGGGGAACATCCCAAGATATTGGAGAGAGGGCCAAGGTGCAAAAGCATGCATTGTGGCGCTGAGGTTCAGAGCATCCACCGCCTGACGAAGGGGTTCAGGACACCCTTAACCCTAAACCCTAGACCCTAAACCCTAAATTAGATCCTAAACCCGCTACGATCATGGATCCAACAGGGCTTAGTGTGTGTTCGACAGGTGTGGACAGCGTACAGTCGTACAGTAGTCAAAGTTTACTTATGCCAGAACATGCCAGAGCTTGGCATGCATAAAGAACGCGAAGAAGTGCGCAAGACAAACACAGACCAAAGCTTAGGGACCTGTTAAGACAGATTCGGACTCAAACGACGCTTCGAAGACGGAAACTGGACAAGTAGTTAATGGTAAATGCATGCTTGAGGGACTTACTGTGATGCTTTTTCACTGCGAGCTGGGAGAGAGGTGACAGATCTAGGCTCTGGCAAGACTTTTCTCAGGGCCAGGTTAGAGGTTCTAACTGCCTGTTGACATTCAGGTACAGCATCTTGAGACGTTCCGCTCCCGTTGCCCTATCCTCAGTGCTGTACTGCCCACCGTCCCTGGCCTTGGACCACGTTGTCCCTTTTGTTGGGCACAAACAAACTGCGAACTCGCAAAAGAAGTCGAACAAAAGGCCACTGCCCATGCACAGACACAATGCCGGCGCCAGATAGTCCTGCAAGTCCAAAGCCCGCCTCTTGACTGCTTTCGCATCGCTGCCAAAGAGTCGAAGCTATAGCTTGGAGCATCTCCTGGAACTTGGCACAAGGAATTTCAGGCTTGGGATTGTCGAAATGTGAGATTGTTCGGGTTTGGGGGCAACCAGCGAAAACCACGAAATTTAAGCTGAGCAGGTGCGAAACATGAGCAAACAGGAGCGACCCAAAACAAAGCGGAGGGTGGAGGCGGGGCGGAGGGGGAAAGAAGGGAGGGGGGGCGGGGGGTCAGGGTTAAAGCGTGGTGGTCAACAAGAGATGCGGGGGTGAAGAAAAGAAGAACCCGACTTGACATCCGACCTACGAAGTTGCCAGGGTGCCACTTACTTGAGATGTATGCGAATTCTTCAATGCCAGAGACCTGGACAACCCAGCGTGTCAACCTTCAGGACTTGTGGCGTGAAGATGGATATCTTGAAGTAATGGCCGTGTTCCTTTTCTCCGTAAGTCTTAATTAAATGCCCTAGGATGGCATGACTTCCTTGGAAGCCCCTTGTAATTTGACCTCGAAACGGCATACTGACGTCTGAGCATACATCCTCCACGCAAACCTCTTTGCCCGAAACCTATAACGTCCAAGCACAGTGCCACTCGCATGGGGACCCCTTGAACCCTTTCCTTTCTCTTCATTTAACAAGCGCAAAACTTTCAGCACATCTTGCAGTGCCTCGTCACGGCGCAAAAGCCGTCCGTGAGCCTGCGAGCGTCGCACACGGCAGGCACTTTCTTTTTGCCGCCGGTTTATGGGCCATAGATAGAGCTGTGGGATTGCGACGTGCGCACAATTGCAGGCAGAGATGATGATTTGGCTTCAGGGATTTCCGTGTTCTCAATTGCAGGTTGTCCGAGGGACCGGCGCTGCAGTATCCAGTCGGACGAACGCAACAAGACCCGTAGCCACAAGAAAACACATAGTGGCGCTAGTGATTCAAAACTTCGGGTTTTGCTGGCAGAACAGCGCAGTGCGGACTCGAGGTTTTCGGGCGAGGGCGTCAGAACACACACAAACCACACACAGGCAATCACGGATGTTTGCGTTGCCTAATTATACAGCAACATGATTCAGGATTGACCATGGCTGGCGCAAAAGCGAAAGATGGGCCTTGGCCTGGAAACAGGCCAGTGATACTCATGAGTGCTGAGTCAAAGCTGACGCGAACGCTCGCCCCTAAAAAAGTACGCAGGTACCCGGACGATACACTTTTTCAAGCCTTAGCGTTAATGCCTTGGAAGCAGAAACAAAGCAACAAGATCATACAAGGCCTACCCGGCTGACTCCCCCTGACTAAAAACACTGAGGGTTCAAGGGGCAGTACGTCAGTGCATGAAAAATATGTGCGCGTATTCTGCACACTCGGCATGCAAAAGTGAGGACGGCGCCAGCCAGGACCTCTAACAGTCCAACAGAAATGAAATCCCGACTTCACCCTCGCCGGATGCCTGAGAGCTGTAAATGCTAAGGGTGTTAGCTGCTACAGGGTTCAGAGTTTAGGGTTTAGGGCCTAGGGTTTAGTGAACCTATACTCCGAGAAACGAAGCAACACAAGTCACTGCGGATCTTCTTCGGGCATCCGAAGCGTAGCAGCTAAACCAAACCAAGGTAGGCCAGGGTAGGCCAGGGTGTGTTGCCAGTAGGTCTGCTAGCTTCTCGCAAGATGTGGGGAGGGGGATACGCAGCCAAAGCACGTGCGCCAGGGCCGTGAGGTGCAAGATCGTGAAGCGGGGCATCGCCCTCTTCACGGGCTCCTGTGCAGAGGTTGGAGTGTTTCTGGCTGGTCTGAATGCACCGGCGCGCCAGCAGAGCAGACCGAACACGACTTGACGGCCCAACGTTTCACAGCGTGGGGGTGCACCATGGTGCTGCTTAGGGCATTTCCTGCAAAGCCACCACGAACGAATGCCTCCAAAGCATCGAAGAGCTTTTGATCATTGATCCACAAGCGGGCATAGGCATTAGCCACCTCGGCAACTGTTGAAGTCAAAAGCGTGTGAGATCTTCGAGTGTTTCGTGCAGGAGCAGATAAACACAGGCTGCCATGCAACAACTTCGAGGAGAAGGGCTTTGTTCTTTGGTTTGAGATTTGCTTGACTGTGCAAACCATGGTCCAGAAGCTTTACGACGGAACTCCACAGTCTGCCTCCGTTCTTTGTATTGCAAAACTTTGTTCAATTACCACGTCTGACTACTTCGTGCTACTGCTTTCTCTACTTACTCGTCGTAGTAGTAGTCACAGCATGGTTGTTGTCGTGGTGGTGGTGGTGGTGGTGGTGGTGGTGGTGGTCGTGGTGGTGGCGGTGGTCGTGGTGGTGGTGGTGGTGGTGGTCGTGGTCGTCGTACCCGTACCGTGCTGTGACTTTTGGCCACATTTTGGTTTCGTGCGGTGGGTGGGCGATTGGGGGCTTGGTGGTAAAACTTGAATTCATATGGGGACCATGGTGGTACTTGTGGCGCGTTTACCTGGTTTTTAAAGCATATCACACACAGTTCTGGAAGCTCATGCCTTTTTGAGACCATGCACACAACACTAGTGTCTACGGCCGGCTTTGTTGCCTCTTCTTGCCTCTTTCTACAACCTATGGCAACATGCTAAACGTTTCTGTAACAAGACGCGCGGCCTGCCCAAGTCAAAATACTGTTATTTACGGCGTTTGTCGGCTCTTTGTGCATGAAACGCATAGGGCTCAAGAATGCCTGTTGAATCTGCCGAATCTGGAGCAAGTCATGCCGTGCCCCGCCAGTGCCTTTTTCACTGCATCGTGCTAAACGCACCATTTTTTGGCACGCTCCGAAAATGACATCAGCGCGATGCTCATTTTTCAGAGGATACGACATGCAAAGTGGAACAAAACTGCACTCGCGTCCTAGTAGTCTGCCATTACAACAACAACTACTCGCACTGCCATTGCCGCTACCACACCAACCACGACCACGACGACTACTACCACCACCAAAACGATGTTGTACTTCTGTCCTGGTTTTAACTTGGCGACATCTTCTGGAGTTTTAGTTTTAAGTTTAGTTTCTAAGATATAAGTTCGACAAGTTCTATAGCAGCGAATAAGCCACTAGGTGGTTACATTTTTGTTGCTTCGTGCTTACTTAGGGGGGGGGGACGTGTGTTGAACTGAGCAGACATAGTGTGTACTTAGGAATCAGAGTGTTTGTGGCTTCTCTTTGTTTTTTTTTCCATGAATTCCTTTGATTTACATATATCTCTCTATATATCTATATATATATATTTACATACATACATACATATATATATATATGCAGGCATGTATATATATATATATATACACATGTGTGTGTGTGTATCCTTTCTGGTCAATTTGCAGCATCTTCAGTCATAACGGACGATTTGATCAAGTGCCAGTATGCTGTCGAGAATATTCAGAGCTGGCAGACTTGATCTACAGTCTTGGAGCCGTCAGTATCCTAAGCCCTAAACCCTAAACCCTAAACCCCAAACCCTAAACCCTAAACCCTAAACCCTAAACCCTAACCAACAATCCTTACTTGACGACTGTCAGCCTTTGCCTTGACGCAAATGGTCGCCACTGCGAAGTTGCGGTTGGGCTATGCTTGGAGGGTCATGGTACTCATTAACCCAAGAAGAACTGTACTTCTTGGGGCTGATAGGCCCTAAACCCTAAACCCTAAACCCTAAACCCTAAACCCTAAACCCTAAACCGTGGGTTATAAGAACAGTTCTATGTCGGATCAACTGGGTACCCGAGGCCACCACCATGCTCAGGTCTACCTCAGTCCTCGGGTTCCAGCAACGTGAACCCTTCCCACCTAAAAGGCCCAAATAGGCCCGACAACTGCGAAACAGCTCTACGCTTTTCTGGGTGTGTCAGGGGTGGCTGTAAGGGAGTTAAGGAGTTGGGATTGAAGGTTTGAAAATGTTTGGAACATTTCGCAGTTCGCACTTTTCTGACCCACATTGCCACATGTTCTATGGTTCCCAGCATGGGGACTTGATGCGTTGAGCATTGAGGAATGGAGGTTTTTTGTGGGCTCTTTCTGCGAAGTGGTTGGAGCAGCGGCACAGGCACGATAATCCATCTTGGGTGGCCTGCGCAGAAAATACTTGCTACGAGCTCCAGCAGAGTCTCAAATATTGGGGCCAGGGGAGCAAGAAGAGGCTAAGGGCGTGCAAGAGGGGCTGTGCCTTCGAACGGGGTGTTTTGGTTCTCGAATGGGGTCGGTGGTTTCTTTTCGTGGATGAGCCGCGGCTGAGCTCGGAACGCCAAAGGGTTTAGGGTTCAGGGTTAGGGAAAACATGGAAACAAAACTTGAGATGGCCGCAGCATTGAGCATGTGAGAAAAGTACAGAATTGTGCCACGTTTCATGTCTGCAACTGCAGACCGCGCGTGAATCGACATGGTCTTCATGAGCTTCTCATCCTTAGTTCCATGTATCAGCATGTTAAAAACTTGATGGAAACTGTGGAAGTTCATTGCGGATCCAGGAACTTGTGATTTTCAGCCTCCGACACGCGAGCCATCCTCCTATGTCAGAACTGGGGTCAGTCCGTCTATAGGGATCATGCTCGAAACCATACAATGTTGCCACTGCACTTTCGCGACATGGCACGACGCAATTGGGGCATTCACATAGTTTAAAGGTGTGGTGCCGCCCTGCGATGATAAGTTCGACTGTACCTTGGCGTTAAGACACTCTGTGCTTCGATAATCCAACACGATACATAGTATACATGGTATTCAACCGATTTAACCTATACTGGCGGGTTTCCGAAAATTAGGATGCCTGAAGTATTTGGTGGGGGGCGGGGGCCATTTTAGGCCGATACTACAATTGAGATATACAAGGGGCGTGCTGACCTTTGTTTGTACGTGTTAGAGCGAGACCTTGTGTCTCTCCGGCTGAACTTCGCGATGTAAAGCCAGGCAGCTCGAATGCGAAGCTTCGACATTCCATTGACCACCATGGACTCAGCAACATGCACAGAATTGGAAGTACCCTGGAAAGGAGGCATGAGAGGGATGTTGCTTTTAGAAAAGCATCCCAACATGTCTTGTAGCAGGGAGGGATCGTGAATTCGTTCGGACCAGGACAGACAGCGCATGTAGCTGCGAAACATACTGCCTGTAGGTGCGAAGCCCTTGAAAGGATTCCAGGGCTACTTGCCCTGACGCTCAACCTCCTAGTGGAAAAGATCCCAGGAACCTTGTTGAGCGAAGTCGCAATGGTGCGTGGAGGCAGATATTCCCCGCCTCTGGCGGCCATTTGCATGACCTGGAAAAGGCCACCTTTGGGGCTTGGAGATTCTCGGATCTGGATAAGTGTTTCCATTGGAGAGTCGGGGAGTCCCTCAGCCTTGAGCCAGCCCAACAAACATAAACTGCACAAATCGTTGAAGCTCAAGATTCCAGAAAAGGGGGTGTCAACACAAAATTATGGGGGCTGCGGATGTAAAGTGCGGAGGGTAAGGTGGTCGCCGTGCACGTGCATGGCCGCTCGTAAATATCACAAGATATGGAAACGTGGACCCCCCCTTTGGATGACCCTGTGCACTCGAACGACTCATAACGACCCTCTAGGACTTGCAGCTTGTAAACAGCAGCGAAGAAGTCATACTGAGCCATACTGCAACTTCCGAGGAGCCTCCGCAGCGAGGAATTGGAGCGTGGCCTCGTGCTTCAAGGCCCCGCGCGCATAGGCGTTGACCATCAGCGACAGGCAGACCATGTCCGATGAAATGAGGATCTGGACATTTGGGCTCTAGGCTTGGGAGGTTCAGGCCACGTTGGCCTCGAGGTAGTGTCATTTTGTTGGCTGGCAGGTGCCTAGTGTCTTGTTGCTGCGGTTGGATTTTTCAGGGGTTCAGGGTGTTTGCTTAGGTGTAGGGCAAGCCGTCATAACCCCCCCCCCCCCCCGGGCCCCCCCAACCCGCACCTCACCCACCAGGCATCCATGCTTTCACCCCCTCTCAGTCTTCAAAAGCCGAACCGGGTCAGAAGTCTGGTTTCGGCAATCCTGGGCTTTCTTGCGCTCCCCCGAAGTGCTCTGAGGCCTGCCTCAGGAACTCGGTCCGAAACCGTCTGCCAGAAGGAGTGGTCCAGGACCTGCAGGAAGGCCAGGTGGTTCAGGACCATCGCCACCTGCGGTACAGGTTGGGCAGCTGATCTTCGGATCCAAGCTGAAAATCCGACAGGTCTGCGTGCTGTGACTCGTAAAGGACTCCATGGCTCGTCATGGGATTCGGCAGAAGAGGGTTGTGACTTTTTGTGCTTCCGGACCTAGAAAACTCTGGGTGTTGCTTTGTCCCCTGGCCTCCCGCGGCCGTAGAAGGTGCAGCTTCCTGGTTCGGAGCTCGTGTATTCACATTCTGATATGAGACAAAGATTATACACCGTTATTCTAATATACTGCGTTAGGCTATTAGCGAATTCTTCTGTAACATGTTATGATGCTCCTAAACTAACATACTAACACATTCACAATATATGAAGTCTACGCCATGTATACTCCTACACTAACATACTAACACATTCACGTTTATGAAGTCTACGCCATGTCCGAACTCCCAATGCAACTGGTTTCCAATTGCAGGTGCAAGGGGGGCCGCACTCTCAAGAAGACTAATTCCTTTGGAGTTTGCTGTTGATGTCACACAAGAGAATCACATAACTCAAAGTCTTAACTGAGCAGCCCGTCATGGCAATACCGTGCATGCGTCATGTCTGCACCCTCTGGGACATTCTTCGCTATCTTCACTGGCGTACCCTCCAACCCTAAAGCCTAACCCTAAACCCTAAACCCTTTTGGCCGGACCGGAACCCCACCCCAATGCCGACCCCGAGACAGAGTGACACTTCGCGGCAGCCTCAACGCTATCCCGAATAAGGCCTAAACCCTATATCACCTCTAAACCCTAAACCCTAAACCCTAAACCCTAAACCCTAAACCCAAAACCCAAAACCCTGGACCCTAAACCCTAAACCCTAAACCCTAAACCCTAAACCCTAAACCCTAAACCCTAAACCCTAAACCCTAGCAGCCCCCAGAACGGTGGAAGCCATCCCAGGGCTTTCTGAGCAGGTCCCCTTGAGAACAAGTGTATTTCCCAGCTAGACACCCTGGTTCTTCGTAGGAATGGGGGGAATGAGGTACCCTGTATACATATTCCCTTAACGGGCATATACAGGGGGGATAAAGGGTCCCAGTCAAACCACCCAGCTAGAGTTATGAGTTATAGCCCTAACAAAGCTGGGAAAGCGCAAGCGTCTGGAGGATCCACGGGTTCAGTTCTCGGAGCTTAGCCTGGCACGTGGCTTCAAGTTGGTGAATGGGTAGGGTTTAGGGTTTGGGGTTTGGGGTTTGGGGTTTTGGGTTTGGGGTTTGGGGTTTGGGGTTTAGGGTTTATAGGGTTTAGGGTTTACGGTTTAGGGTTTCGGTTTTAGGGTTTAGGGTTCAGGGTTTAGGGTTTAGTTTTTTCTTTTTTTGCCACCCGCTCAGCTGACCTTGTAGGGTTTAGGGTTTCTGCAGCACCATCTCCGAAGAGCGAACATCGGGTTTAGGGTTTAGGGTTTAGGTTTTTTTAGGGTTTAGGGTTTAGGACTTAGGGCTTAGGGTTTAGGGTTTCATCGCTCACACTCAAGCCAGGCGGGGCACACACTGTCTCATGGTTCTTGTGAGGGCCTACTCAGCACATCGGGCCAAATTAGGCAGGGGTGAAGCGTGACACTTTGCAGGAATACCTACAGTACAGACTTCAGGACGCGCCCTTCTCTCAATACATCTTCTCGTCAAACTACCTTCGTGCTTCCATGCCTCTTTGTGGGCAGGGGAGGCATTACGATTTAGGGTTTAGGGTTTGGGGTGGTTGGTTAGAAAGCTGGTCCTCAGCCACACGCGGACTCTTCTCATCTCACCACAAGGCTGCACCCAGCAATTGAACCAAACCAGGACTGCTGCACCGAGTTGATTAGGTGTCAGAGCCTGGTTCTGGGAGGCTCCTGGTCCTTATTTAATTATTAACCAATTATGACTGTGCTCATAACCCACTTGTTAGCCCCTTTAGTGGGTTAAAAAGTACCATGCTCCAAGTACGGTCTCTAGTTGCATCTCTTCCCCTTTGGGTTTCGAAACCCTAAACCCTAAACCTAAAACCCCTAAACCCTCAGTGGGCGGTTTGAGGCAAGAGGCATGGTCGCCGGCCACATAAGCGCGATGGAAGATGGTCGTCAATGGCAGGACCTGCGGTGGCTACGCTGCTTCAACATGGCATCATTGAAACACTCTAGGCCTGGTACCAGGATGGGCTAGTAGTACACCCTATAATCCCTTAAAAGGCCCTTTATAGAGTTCATTGTGGGGATGATTTAAGGCCTAGCAGCCCATCCTGGTATGCCGAGGAGGTTCTGTGACAGTTCTGTGCAGAGTCTGATTCGTCAGCTAATCGGCGAGTCGTCAGAGTTCAAGTCCCTTCCCACTGATGCATTGCGGTTCTCTCAACAAATTGCTCCGGACTTAGGCTTCTTCTGCTTGCCACTTGCCTAGCCTTCGAGGCACAGCGCCTCATTGCTGATCGGCCGGTGTACTTGCAGTGCAGAGAAGTACTGTTCTTGTGGGGGAAGAGTGGGTTCGTTGCAGGATCAGGATCACTGCACGAGCTGGACACCGGTCGCGGGATGGAGGCCAAGGACGCCGGGAACTAGGGTTTAGGGTTTAGGGTTTAGGGTCCTAGGGTTCCAAGGTTCAAAAAGGGCACGGGGGTGCGCCTGTTGGGAGCTGAATGCCTCGCTCGCACATCTCCGAGCCAACAGGCGACATGCCATGTCAGGAGCCGAAGGATCAGATTGGGGTGGGAGTCGTCGAAACAAAGCTGCTCATAGAGCGCAACAAAATGTGGCTGCAAATTTTTGGGGGGCTACATACACGGTGACTCCCTGACAAGCAAATGTTGATGCTTTGCTTGCTTACAGTGATCTCATGCCGGTGCCGCGGTACCAGAAGTGCTTGAGTGTGAACAGGTCCGGTTGTTGCGCATTCAGGCACTTGGAAGCTTCAACATCATTGCAGAATGCTCTGGCTGTGTGCTGTGTTCCAGCAGCTACTATTGCACGAACAAGCAAATGCCATGAAACACGACACCATCCTATGCCAGTCTGTTGTCAATGGCACAAAAGTGTACAAGTAGCTGCTGCGCTGGGGGCACTCCGATGCATGCGAAGGAGCCAGCCAGGAGCAGTTGCGCCTGCTCGCTCAGCACAATTTCCACAACTTCGACATGCGGCAGACTCTCGTTATTCAGTCGCAATCCCTTAGGTGTTTGGTTCACGGGGCTTACGTCTTTCCTGCTCTGGCACAAGCCAAGTTGTTCCAACCGCTCTTGCACAAAAAAAGCAACTCATCAGCATTCACCAACCCTCCCTCGAGTCCTGGTTATTCCCCAGATCACCAACCCCATGCACCCAGTTGCTGTGCCCGAGTTTAAAGGCAAGCGTTTGACTCAACCACGTTTGTGTTGAAACATTCTGCCGTTGCCGAGAGTCTACGCGTCAGACTGTGGCAGCTCGCTGTCCTCTTCTAACCAAGACTGTCATGTAGTGCGGAAGGTCCTGGTATAACTTATGCCAAGGACTCCGACACAAGACACAGCGCTTCTTCCCCAAGCCTTGCACTTGAAACCTGCAGATACATACTTAAGGGTTTAGGGTTTAGGGCTTACTTTAGAAAAATATGTCGCGACTTTTCATCTCCCGGCTCGACACCATGGCAGTGCCGCTTGGCAGGTGGCTCAGGAGGTGCCGGCCAATCCAAGACCAAGGCAACACTCTCCTGAAGGTTCGGAAGGGCTTAGGATGTTGGAATCCAGGGTCGCACCTGTCATTGCCTGTCATTTCGACTCTCTCCCTCTCTCTCTCGCTTCTTCTCCTCTTTCCGCGTATGAGGTGTTAGGGCACACCTTGCCTGTGAATCCCACACTCTGGTTCCTCTTCAAGCTGGTTTTAGCTGGTTTTATCGTAAGTCTTCTGGCTAGGTGGTGAACAAGTTTTAGAAACCTGGTCTCATCGTAAACGCCATCACTTCCGGGAGACAGATGCTAATAAGTCAACCGTACTCTCGTGACTTCTGCTGTTCTTTTCACAGGGTTCCCTAAACCCTAAACCCTAAACCCTAAACCTAAATCCTGGGTAAGTGTCAGCACCTCCAGCACAAGGAAAAAGACCACTGTTAACCTCTGTCTCGAGGAGTTAATCTGTGAAGAGAGCACCTTGTTTAGGGTTTCGGGTTTATAGGGTCTAGGGTCACGACAATGTTTGGTGCTTTCTTTCTGGATGCAGATGGCTTCTGCGTGTGACACTGCGCGACAAAGTCTCGGAGCACACTCACAAACTTCCTAACTGTCAGTCTCCTCTGCCGGATTCTCGCTTTGCCGGCGGAGGTGGGGCCCCACCATGTCCAGAAAGCGCCCAAGCGCGGAGTCTTCGGGCTCCAGGCCTGGTTTGGACTCGGGCTCCTTGCTGTGTCCTTTTTTTCAGGGCTTGCTTATCAAACAGTTGCCCATGGCTCGCGAAAGCTGGTGCTGGGAACGCTGCAGGAACTCCTGACCAGCCCTCCCACCCCCCCCCCCCCGCCCAGCCCCACACCCACCCCCACACCCCCCCCCCCCCAAAAAAACGGAAGAGGGTGCCGAGAATGCCCACCCTGACAGCAGGCCTGGAGTGCCTGCAGAGAGCCCTGCCCAGTAAACTCCCCGAAAGACTGCCCTTGGAGAGTGCCCAGCCCCAGAATCTGCAGAGTCCTGCGACCTTAAACCCTAGACTAGAGCCTACCCTAAACCCTGTACGATGGCTCCAAAATCGGTTAGCTACAGGATGGTCAAAGTGTAAAGATGTGCTGGTTTGCTAACCGTCAGGCTTCTGGCCCCTGGGCCGTACCTCAAGCCCTGCGCTCTTCCTTGCATGCTGTTTAGGGTTTAGGGTTTAGGGTTTAGGGCTTTGAGATTCCAGCCTTGCAGCTCTGCAAACCCAACACCATCCAATGACCCAGAGCAGGCTGAACACGAGACCACGATGAGAAGACGCCCCCCCATGAACCCAAACTGTACCGAGCGGCACGGCTGCCCATCTGGGCCTACTCACATGGCTCCCACATGCCCTTCTGTCTCTTGTTGATTGAGGAGGGGGGATTTAGGGGGTTTGGGGTTTAGGTTTTGGGTGACCCATAGTTCCGGCTTCAGGTCTTCGAAGCGCGTTGGCTTCCGGAGTGGGCAAACCAAAGAGGTAAGGAACCCCAAAAGCTAGGGAACAAAACATGCACCGTGAAGTTTATAGGGTTTAAGGCTTAAGGCTTGGATTCGGAGGGCACAGAGTTTTGGGTTGAGGGGGTCCTTAGCAAATTATTGTTTTGGATCCTTACCAATGCTCGATCCTGATCAATATTTGCTAAAACCCAAAGCAGGGCAAATCGCACGGAGTGACACGAACCCTAAGCAATACAAGGACGAATGTTACATGACGTGTTCACAACACACAGCTCAAGGACTCATGGTAGAGGTTCAATGATGGTCCTAGACAGACTGCTGACACTCGACATCATGCGACTCACACAATGGGTCACTGAGCGAGGCAGGGTTCACGTTCACACAGGCATATGTCGACGGCTTCACGACATGCTGAAGAAATATGTTCCATGCCTGCTGCGTAGCCACCCCAATCGAGTGCCCCAAAGTCCCGCTTTGTGGAGTCCGGGCATTTTGAATTTGTGCAGGGCCTTGCTTCCATGGGTGCTTCCGCGCGGTTCTTTCGTGAGGTTTCGGGAACTTCCATCCACACATAAGATTTTGAGTAAGGTATAAGCCCGAAAACGCGTCAGCAGTTCAAAGCAGGACCAACGAACCATTGCTTTGAGCTTGCAAGGGGCGGACGAGGTGACTTGCAAGAGCCACCACCACAGCCTAAACCCTAAACCCTAAACCCTAAACCCTAAACCCTAAACCCTAAACCCTAAACCCTAAACCCTAAACCCTAAACCCTAAATGCCCCGAAGGCCTGGAAGGCCACAGAACTCATGATGTGGGGAGAGTGCGACAACCCTGCCTCGAAAAACAGCCCGACGCTTTTGGTGTCCCACGATGGCCTCAGGGTTTAGGGTTTAGGTTTAGGGTTTAGGGTTTAGGGTTTAGGGTTTAGGGTTTTAGGGTTTAGGGAGGTGTTGAGGGTTTGAAAGGGTCTTGGGGCCCTTGTGCCTCTTAACAGGCTGTCTTCACGACAGTCTGGAAATTCGGGATGTCGTGCTTTACAGAAAACATTGTATGAGGTTGTTGTCGCTACCCTGAAACAGACCACAGGTGAGCTTTTTGGAGCTTCACTTTGGTTTTCAGTTGTACTTTGGGCTCGCTTGGGGCTCACGTCATCCTCCACCCTTACGAACTTCAAAGCCCCTGCTTTGTTTCCAGAGCGCTTTACACTCTCACAGCCTACCCTATACTCCACTTAGAACCTTCATAAAAATATTACTCTTAAAATCCTCTTGGGTTTTATTAAAAAAAAACAAAAATAAGTCCCAAGGGGGATATAGTACCAGGCGAGGACTCACACCAGCAGCTTTCAGCTGGAAGCGGAACGACAGCTCATACCAGTACCGCACATTCAAGGAAGCGACTTATAGGGCTTAGAGACTCTCGCAAGGAGCTTTGGGGCTGTTTAGGCTTACAGTAGGCTTAAACGGCCTAAACAGGCTTTGAAGACTAGCAAGCAGCTTTGGGGCTGTTTAGGCTTATGGTCGGCTTCAACGGTCTAAACAGGTTTTAAGATTTTGAACGCAAGGCGGCTGTCTGGCGCTGGGAGGGCGCATGCAGGGCCGCGAGGCTGGCAAACAGTGGCTCCGCCAACCTGGCGATCCAGGAGCTTGGCGGCGGGTCAGGGGTTTAGGGTTTAGGTTTAGGGTTTCGGGTTTAGGGAGGGCGTGGAGTGTAGGCATGGGTTTCGGGGACGGAGGCTTCAGGAACGCCAGTTGACGGGCATGCTGATGGGTGTATGGTTCGCCCGCCGAAACATGCAACCCCAAAATCCGAAAAAACATCAGGGCCCAGAACTCAAAGGGGGCATTCAAACTGGGCCACGACACTGCCAGAAATCATATTACAGGACACTCCCGCGAACACGGTATCCCTCCATCCCATTGGTGCCACCCAATGCTGCATCACAGCGGCCGGTCCATGAAGAGCACCTGGAGAGAACAGCGTCCTCTATCGGTTCATGCAGGAAGCCTCCGTGGTTAAGCAAACTAGTTGCGCCGATCCTACCAGCATGATTCGTCCACAGAATTCCAGCATCCCCCCCTTTAACCCTAAACCCTAAAACCCTAAACCCTAAAACCCTAAAACCCTGAAACCCTACAAACCCTACAAACCCTACAAACCCTACAAACCCTACAAACCCTACAAACCCTACAAACCCTAGACCCTACAAACCCTCCAAACCCTAAACCCTAAAACCCTAAACCCTAGACCCTTACAAACCCTAAACCCTTTTTGAGCACGGACTGAGGACCCTAAACCCTAAACCCTAAACCCTAAACCCTAAACCCTAAACCCTAAACTTACAGCCATCCAAGGCACATCTGAGGCCAGCAGGAGGTCGAAGACTCCCGTCCGGAAAGGCGGCGCACCTGGTGACCCTCTCCTTAGGGATTTAAGCAGGGTTTTGGGTTGTTTTTTCAATGCAACGACTCCCTTTCTCCAAGCAAGCCCGCCCATATAAGGGCATGCACTGTCGACCAGGGTTTTGGGTTTAGGGTTTAGGGTCTTTGTTCGTGCTCCAACGGTTTGAAAAGCTATGGGTCAGGAGGACTGTTTGATTGTGACCTCAGGAAGCAACGTGCAAACAAAATAAATACCAGTGAGTTCATTAACTACACAATCGTCACACCTGCTTGTCCCTGGTCGTTTCGTGCGTGTTCCCAACAGGCATGAACACATTTGACAGCGCGTCTGCTTGGAGAAGCACATGCCAGTGTGCTCGGCACGGTCACCATAGGAATGGATTCCCCACCACATCCTTGAGCAGTACAGCAATGCCAGTGTTTTCAACATATATGCCCTTTGATTGGATGCATTATCGTCCCCCCCCCTTCCACCATGACTTGTCCATAGAGAGATATGATGACGATTGCAAGAATACCACCTGACGACCTGCACTGACTCCTCAAAATCTGATGTTGGAGCAAGATATGCAGCAGGGCCAGCCCGGAAACAGCAAGAACTAATCACGCAAGCAAGTCCAAAAACTCTCGTCTCTCACGACTTTTGCATCGAGCGAATTAAACCCAGACGGAGATGAGGGGTCAGCCCGGGATGAGTGAGGACGCTTGCATCTGGACCCGAGCTTAAACTAAACCGCCATGTGATGAGCTCTCCTCTCTCTCTATCTCTCTCTCTCTCTTCTTCTTCTTCTCCTCCTCTTCTTCTTCTTCTTCTTCTTCTTCTTCTTCTTCAGGGCTTGAAGGGCGCGCGAGCACCCTCCGCGCACAAGGCGCGCCCAATTATCTCTCTCTCTCTCTCTCTCTCTCTCTCCTTTTCAACCTTTTCTTTAGCGGGGCCTAGCGGGCAAGCCCCCTTCCTTCCTTCCTTCCTCTTTCTCTCCCTCTCTCTCTGTCTTTCTCTTTGGCATGCGTGAACCGAACAAGCCTCGCGCAAAGTCGTAGACAACGGCATCGCAGCACGCAGCATTGAGAGCGGCAGTGCCCAGCGCCAGGCCAAGCACGGCCGACTCCTGCCAAGCGATGTGTTGCAAGGTGGTTTAGGGCTTAGGGTTTAGGGTTTAGGGTTTAGGGTCTTTTGTTCGCTCCCGCATAGCTGGCCGAACGTAGGGTTTAGGGTTTAGGGTTTAGCTCAACACATGCGTGGTGTTTGTGTGTGTGGCTTTGTCAGCTCATGAGAACTCATGGGATACCGGGCAAACCTGCGCTTATCGGTGCTCATGTGCTTTCGGTGGCACCGACAATTGCAACCTCCTGCGGGCCTCCAAAGGAGAACACGCGGTGTTGCCACTTTGAACAATATACACTTCCCCCACGAGCCTTGTCTGACCTTGCTTGCAGAGCGAGCGGTTGTTTGCAGAAGCATGTCCAACTATATAAGAAACCAAAACTGCAACAAAAAACATGCTTTACATGACTATTTAGGCAGTGGGCAGCACAACGAAGCCGGCGGGCGCAGCGCGGACGCCCAGCGCCCCTAGCCCTGCTCCCAGCTCCAGCTGCAACCTCGTCAAGAAGATGTTGCTGTCATTTCTCGGACACCGCTGGGCAGCCATCCTATCCCTGCCGCCCAACTTGAAAGTTTGAAGCACAAATCCTGGATGACCAACTGAAGACTTCAAACTCCGCGCTGAGTTGAAGATCACGCACCCCATGGAGGTCACTCCCTGCAGCCCTCTGCCTGGGTGCAGGAGGTGGCAGCAGCGCGGCCGCAGCGCGCGAGGCGGCACCCCAAGGTTGGAAGCCAGTGGTGTCCTCGAGTGCTCATACCGTGGTTTAGGATCACAAGCAGCTTTCCTTGAGGCTTTGCGGGAATGGTTTCGACACTCACTATCGCACGGGGCACTCTTATGATTTACGGTTGAGGCGTTGCGCTCAGCGGATCTTGCAGGGCCTGGGCTTGAGGGTTGAGAGGCAAAACGCTGGGTTTTTCTTGGGGGGGGGGTGTTCTAAGTATTGGGAGTGCAGGGAGGTTCAGGCGTTGCAACTTCACGTTGAGAATGAGAAAGGTTAGGGCTTCTTCGGGTTGAGGTTATATCAGAGGGTTGGGGGGGAGGGAGCATGTGCGAGCAGGGAAAAATATTCGGGGAAGCCATGTAGCGGCGTCTGCACTAGAAAATGACCTGAGCACCCGCAAGCAACCAAAGCTTTGTGCCACCACCCTCACCAAAGTCCTCGCAGCCATTTTGCAAGCTATCTGGACCTCGACAAAGCCTCGCGCCAGTGCTGCGGGAGCTGTGGGTGACCCCCGTTTTGTACTGGTAGTTGCCCTAAACCCTAAACCCTAAACCCTAAACCTCCGAGCGGCGGATGGCAAATGGAACTGCGCAATTGTTGGGGGAGCAGAGGGCCCATCTTCTACTCAACCGGGTCTTTCGGTCTCACCCTGCGGAAGCCTGACGATGGTCCCGCCCAGCGCGAGTTCGCCGCCCGGCTCCATGTATTTCAGGCTCTTCTGTGGCTTAGCTTGCCCAGCTGCGGTGCCACAAAACCCTAAACCCTAAGTCCTAAACTGATACAACCTTCCGGCGTAATTCGCATAATTCAACGTATGGCTTTGTGCTGCTGGCTGCCGGCTCCGGAACTGACTTGACAGAGAAGCCGAAATCCAATCTCAGTTTCGTGTGTTCACAAGCTGTGTAGGAACCATGGAACCCTAAACCCTAAACCTGAAGATCCGAATCAAGGTTCTCAAAGGCAAAAATGCCGCATGTGCCACAAACCCGACATGCGAATGTTCAAGCATTACCGCATCACACAAACATGTCTGCATGTATGTGTAGATGGATATGGATATGTATATGTATATTGTATATGCATATGTAGGTGCAGGTGTATGTGTATGCGTGTGTATACTTATATGTATAGACATATGTTCCGGAGTCATGGCATGCGCGGCACATCCCTCCACGACAGGTCGGTGGTCTCTTGATGATGGGCTGTTCTTGTCATGAGAATCTGCTCATGTCAACACCAACGAACCTGCTAGGCCCGCTAGGCTTAAACCCTTCCACGATTCTGATTCTGGCGTAGGGGTCATTGGTTTCACTTGAAAGTCCTAAAAGTTACAATCAGGATGGATCGACAGACACGGCGCAGGTACGGGCAGGGAAGATTGAGGGGCTTCCTTCAACCGTGCTCTGGACCTTATAAAGGGCCCTGGGGCATACACCGCGGAACTTCAATCTCCGGCCTCATGCGGATGCCGCAGGAGACGGTGGCGTGCCTCAGGAATGCCCGCGTGTGCAAGGTGCAAGCTAGGGCTTCCAGTTCAACCCTATGATGCCCCTAGTAGAGCCAGCCTCTTCAACCTGCACAACCTCAGATTGGCGTATGCCTTAAACCTCAGTCACCAGCACGGCACAGCTGCTGCCAGCACCAGATGATGAGGTACGCAAGGCCTGCGGAGGTTTGAAGCTGGGCGTTGGATTTCATGCCTTAGAAGCATTTGCTGCATGTGTTGCATGGTAGTTCTGTCACCCCCGATGCACTAGATCAGATAAAACTGAGCCAACATGAAGAGACGATGTCCTGTGATTCGTGTCTTTTTTTGGCTGGGGTTGGGCCCGCGCTTCGACGGCTTCCAGTATTCAGATGTCCTAACCCCGGGCCGCTCACAAGGTTTTTGGCCACACCTACAAACGCATGGCTCCCCCCCAAAAAAGGCCCAAAGACCGGTGGATCTCTGCCACCTCTGCAGGCCAGAAAAAGATGCAGGCGCACCTCAGCTGGGCATTGTTATAGCGCTGATCAGGTCACAGTCTATGGCGATTTTTGTCTTCGGGACGCTGCTGCCTCGATAACATAGATGTGTTTGGCGGGCGGTGTGACCCGGAGAGAACCTGATTGACCCCGGAACCGGAAGTGTAGAAACGCGCCAAAACCCCAAACGATCTTGGCCATCCATGGCAACTTTGAAAAGGCCTAAGGAAGTGGGCCAGTGGGTCTCGGCAAATGTGGCTAACGTGGCTGGCGGAGCGATGCGGTGACCATGATGTAGATTGGAAGAATGCCGCCTAACACGTCACTGTCTTCAAGGTGCAAGTACCAGGTTCTGACAAAGGTACACAAAATTATCACAGGAGGACAGAGGGCTGTTTATGCTTTGGCTGGAGCTTCTGACTCTGAGCCTTGCGCTGCTGGTCTGATAGTCCGATTCCGACAGACCCTTACACCGATGTGACCAGCAGCTTCAGCGGACCCTTGGAGCTTGACATGCTGATGCTCACAACGATAGCACGCTCGGAACCATGGCGTGTGTCTGAGAGGAGGACCCATCCCAGGTCGTCTTCGCCTGACCGAGTTGAGCTTTCAGGATTGCCGCAGCATCTCAAGTTTCAAGACTCCACGACATCTGCGACCCTTCACAGGACCATGTCAGCCCCTAACTTTTGCAGCCTTGTCGTGCACCTTAAGACTGCCTGAGGAACATGAACTATTCCACTCTCTGAGGTGCAAAGATGCCACTGAAGGACCCAACTGCAGAGCAACTTCCACCCGGCCAAGGGCTTGAACAGATGACAGCGCTGTGCGCAGCAGCTTTACAAGCAGGTCTGGGGCTGTTTCCCTGACCTCTCTTGTGGAAGCGCAACTCAAGTGCTGAGTATATTAGACAGGAAATATACCCCAAACCCTGGGCACTCAACCTTGTGAATCCCCGGCAACTGTCGCAAGGCCTCTCCAGTTCAGGTTCCCCAGCCTCAGCAAGAAAGTTTTCAAGTCCAGATCCGACACGCAAAAAGGGAGTCAACAAGTTCAAGCTCAGGTGAAGTCAGGCATGTCCGTCGTCGACCAGGAAATGTTTGGACTTTACAGATGCAACCAGGCGCGCACGCGCAAGTGTAAGCGTCTGAAAAACATGCAAAAACCCATGCGACGACTTCTTGCTTCTCATATTGGTGCTGGGATTTGGGAATACCACCTCGGGACGTTTGGAAGTGGAGGACAACAAGACGGGTTTTGGAATTTCCAACCTGATGGCCGACACACATCCACCCAAGTCTGTTTGGGGGAATTTGAGGCATCCCACACCCCCTTTACATGGACTATGCTGTCTATGTAGCACACGCCAATGTTCGACCACCCGCCAGCTGCAGCGACACCACAGAGCATGCACTAAGTCTATACCACGAGCCTGCTTCGCATGCTCTGGAGCGCGCACCCCTCACTTCCATTCCATTGCACCGGGGCAGTGGCCCTTTCGCGTAGAGTCGGTGGATGAAGGTGCAGCAAAACAGCTCCACCTGGGAGCAGCAGTTCTCGGGTGGCAAGTTTAGGGGGCGAGGGGTCGTGGGTTCCAAGGTTCAGCTGTTCGGAGCTGCTTCGGGAGCGAGTTCAAGAAGAAAATCCTTGAGGTAGACTACCCTTCTGCAGAAGAAACCTAAACACACCTGTGTCACGCCTAGGAGATTCGCTGATGGCCCGGGTTCTGTTCGGAGGCAGTGCATGAGTGGAAAGGGGCTCGCATGCCACGACGGCCAGCCCTTCAGCTCAAAAACGAGGACCCTAAGCCCTAAGCCCTAAGCCCTAAGCCCTAAACCCTAAACCCTAAAGAGGACGAAGACCAGCAAGAGACAGAGCTCTGACATGGCGTCAAAAAGGCACACAGCTCCACGGCCAAGGTGGTCAAAAGACCTGCTGCCCAGAGCCCATCCAAGTCGAACGCCACAGCCAGCAACAGACATTGCCGGATGGGATCAGCGATGCAACCGCCATGACAGCTTGAAAGTTCATGCCTTCTGACGAAGGCAAATGGACCCAGCACGGTCGGGAGTTCAAGTCCGACAGCTGTACATGTTCAACGTAGGTGAAGGAACCGAAGCCGAAACGAGCATAGCAGTGCCAACACTATTCGAGGTGAGCATCAAGCTGACAGCGAGAGTCCAAGGTTTGGCCGGCAGATTCCCACTCCAAACCTTCTTCAGGAACCGACCAAGGTGGGAAATTGAGGCTACTCTTGGGCATGTCACCATCGGAAACCCAAGAAGTGTTTGGGCCAGGCGTCGGGTATGAGTGCAGCTAAGAGCTCTGGGACAAAACCTTAGAACAATGTCAGGAATACATTCATCCCTGTCATAAGTAACTGGGTACGAACCGAACCATCCAGAAAACACATGAAAACACCCCATATGCTGCTAGGCCCTAAACCCTAAACCCTGAACCCTGGCCGCCGCAGGTTGCCAAAGAAAATCTTGCGGGCTTCGGGCCCCGCTCAGAACAGTGGCAACAGTGCTGTGGGTTTCCGTGCGCCCGGGCTGCTGTCAGGACTGTGAGGGCCAGGGCCTGTCCGTAAGAGAAGTGGGAAGACTTGTCTTTGTGGGGTCTAAAGAGCCAGTCCTATAGCCCGAGCAATCTCTAGAGCATCAGCGGACGAGTTCAAACCAGCGAGGGGGGGGGGGGGGGGGGGCACGGGGCAGCACACATCTCGATGATGTTGTGTCTACATACGCACGCTTGCAGGGTCTGGTAAGGCTCCGAAAAAAGAGGCTGGGCCAAGTTCTTCAAAGTCACATCCTGAAGCTCTAACAAAACTTCGGGAAGTCTCCCAGGTTGTGAGTGTTGCAATTCGGCTTGGGGGTATGTTTGGGGTCTCTTGGTGGTGTACCCTTTCTTACCCCATCTGGAGCCTGCTTGTCCAACCTGGACTCCAACTTCTTGCAGATGGTGTTTTCGTGGTACCACCTGACACGCGCATGGTAAGGCTTCAGGGTTTGGATGTTGTAATATATAATATTTATAACAGACAGTATAGAATATCTAACATAAGATGATTTTTGTGGATAAAGCCCATCATGAGGCACAACACGTGGCGACCCCGGAATCTCGGTCCTCGCAGTGTGCAACATTTTAACATTCCAGCCGTTAGAGTGGCGTGGGGTCCCTATGTCCCCACTTGCGCCTGTGTTTCCGTTAAAGAACTGCTTGTGCCTACTGCTATCAACCCCGAAGGGTTGGAACCCGCATCCCAAAACCACAAAACGTCTCAAAACTATTCAAAACGCTCAAATACCAAAGCGAACGCCTCAGCCGAGGGTGCCCCCTTTCTGCCTACCTCTGTACTTTTTCCTGAACAGGGATACTCCCCCCTTCAAAACTCTTAGGAACTTGCATCCTCGCACCTCCCTACCACCCTAGCACCACCACCTGCCCATGAGTCATTGCTGATAACATACATGTTGTGTCATCCCAAAGCAGATGCATCGGAAAATCCAAGCATCTCCAACAGAAAATTCGACGCCGTTTTTCGGCTGAGCTTGCACAGAGCTACTAAAAGTCCGTCAACCAACCTTGAGCCGAACTGCTGTCGAGCCTTACCATCTCAGAGGCACGCTGCATGCAACGCAGCGCTAGCCACTACGAGCAATTCACACCCTCCTTCCCTACCCTGCCACTCCCGTTTTTTGGGTGTCCCTGAGATACAGAATTTCACCCTAAACCCTA